CCCTATACTGGGGGTGAACCTGTTTCTTCATGCAGGAATGGGTGCACCTGGGAATCCATCGTGGGCCTCTGTGCCGCCCTGCATTGCTGTCGGGACCTCAGGACAGAGCACCACACCTGTCTCTGGGCCCCGACCTCAGCTTGCGGTCTGGGCACACCTGTCAAAAATCAAGGGTGCCTACCCTGCACCCTCTAGGGAGAGCCTCCCAGGCTCATGAGTTTCCTCTCTGCTGCAGAGCATGTCTGTGGCCATGGGTGCTGGGAGGCTCAGCTGGGCTGAGCGGAACCGCACTGGAAGGCGTGTGTGCAGCCTCAAATGCGGACATGTGGGCTTGTCAGTGAACTAATGCAACCAAGCCCTGCCCTCAGGGCCTGTTTGCCAGGAAGTCCAACGCAGAAACAGTCACGTCCAGGCCAGGCTGGGCTCCCTGCACAGCCCGAGCCTTGGAGCAGCACTTCTGCCCCATCCCCGCCCCAATCAACCCTTGGCTCCAGCCAGCTTCTCTCTGGGCTTCTGCTCCCAGTGTCCCACCCAGATGTTCCCTCTTCTTCAACTTCCACCTGGCAGAAAGACCACCTGAGCCCACACCTCCCCCAACACCCTGCGACTCTGAGGATGGCACAGCCTTGTCTCTATTGGGACTGTGGTGGGTTCTAAGCCTCACAGGTCTGCCCAGCTCATGACAGGTGAACATGCAAAGAGTAGATGCGTGACCAGCACAGTCGGGATTGACCCTCCAGGGCACAGACCCCTGCAATGAGGAGCATGGGTCCCCAAGGTCTTCATGTGGGGTCTGTGTTGTGTGTGAGCTGAGGTGCACAGCGGGACTGTGGTCACAGGGGCCAGGGGAATACGGCCACGCACAAGAACAGCATGAACACGTGTGAGCACCGGGCATCCCTCCACCCTCAGGCCTGGATCTGCTCCTCCCTCGCGCTCGGCCCTGCTGGCACAGCCCTGGGACAGGGGAATGCCCCTCGGCTCTGGTCAGCTCCCTGACCTGGCATCTGGAAGAGGCCGATCGTAGTGCTGCCATGGCTTGTGCCCTGAGGGGTGAAGCCTGCACAGGGCCTCGTGCCCACATCCACCCCACAGAGCTGCAGCCACATCCAGAGATGCTCCCTCCTCACCCCAGGCCAGGTCCAGGCTGCAGGCTGGCAGCGTCTGCAGGGAGGGGAAGGGTGGGACCAACTTCATGCCCACTCATGAGAGATTCTTCTTCCCTCAGGTTCCTGGAGGACTCTGTTTCCTGTGCTTGGCCCCACCCTGAGAGGCCCCCAGCTCCTGCACCTGAGCCCATTCGCGGAGGAGCATGGGTGTTGTTAGTACACACTGTGGCCCCTGGCCAGGATGACAGCACCTGCGCACACCTGTCCTGTGCATGCATGTGGGCGTGAGCATACATGTGAGTTGCTGTGGGTGCTTCCGGAAGGCATCCGTCTGCTGGTGGCTGTGTGGGCAGAGTGGGTGTGCAATGAGGGTGCTTCCTCACAGCTCAGTGTCAGCCACAGCCACACCTGTGGGGCCCCTGTGACCCGTTCCTGCACGCCTTCGAGTGCCTGCTCTCCAACCGCTTCAGTCACCCTGGGTGAGCGCAGGCCAGGGGGCAGGCCGGTCTGCACCTGGGGTCGCAGGGACACACGGCTTTTCTCTGGCCTCCCCTCTGGATCTCTCTTCCTAGGATTATACCACATCTGGTGCTCAATAAATGATTGATTGATGGAGGATGGATGGAAAGCAGACTCTAAGGGGTGCAGTCTGGAAAGGGGCATTGGCAGGCACTCGGGATGGGAGGGAGTGTTCTGGCAGAAGCACCAGTTGGGGTCAGGGTCGGGCAGCGCCAGAGGGGGCGGTTAAGCCTGGCTGAGCCTGGGCTGGGGGCAGCGGGGTCGGCGGGCCGCCCCCGCGCTCCCCGGGGAAGTCTCGGGTCACCGTCTGCGCCGCCCGCCGGCCGCGCCGCCCGGCGCGTTATTTATGACCCCCTCCCCCTCCCTGGCGGCGGCAGCGACTCCGGCCGGGGCCCAGCGGCGGAGGGCCCCGATGGGGGGGACCGCGAGCAGCGACGCTGCTGCCAAGGCCGGGGGCGGGGCCTCCGCCGGCTGGAGGTGGGACTGTGGCCGCAGACCCCGCCCGCCCCCACCCCCAACGGTGCTGCCAGCCCAGAAAGATTCTAGCGCCAAAATTCTGTCCCTCTAGGCTCTGCCTGCAGTCTGAGAAGAGCAGAGCGACCTGCGGGCCCAGGTGCCAGACCAGGACACAGGTGGCCAGGTAGGGGAAAGCAGACCCCTCAGGAGGGGTGTGATGACCAGGGCTGAGAATGCCTGGTCCCTGCTGGAAAGTGGCTCCCACCGGAAAGCAGAGGGGTCTGTTTCCCAAGAAGAGGAGAAACAGGTGGAGTGAGCCGCCCTGATCAGCCAAGGCCCTGAAAAGGGACCTCCCAGGAGCCAGGGAGTGGCCCTTGGAGGAGAGGGGCCCGAGTCCTCTAGACATGCCTGGAGCCAGATGGTGGGGTGGAAGTCAGGCTGGGTGAGTTAGGTTGGCCCCACACCTTGCCAGCTGAACCCTCACCCCTGAAAGCCAGAGTTGGGGACCCCAGAGCCCTCCTTAGCCATTGTGTCTGTGATGAGTGTTAGGGGTGGCTCTGCAGAAGCGAAGGGAAGGCCCCTCTGCAGATTCAGGTTGTAGGAAGGACACTGTGGCACCTGCTCAGGTCTGGAGGTGTCTCAACAGCCTTCCCTCCCCAAACCACAGTGTGATGCTCAGGGGTTAGGAGGCTTGAGGCTCAGGGCAGGTGCAGGCAAACAGAAGAGCTGGGTGGACGGGACTGTCTTTTGGCAGAGGGTCAGGGTTGTGGCCAGACAGTGGGCACACTGGCCTCCCATTTGACCTCCAGCAAAGCCCTGACATCCTCTGCGTTGACAGGATGGCTCCTCCCTGGGCCTTGGCTGTAGGGCAGGGACAGTCTCCTGTATCCATTGGACACGAAGGCATCACACCTGAGAGCAAGACACAGGACACAAGGCTGGCCATGTGGGGAGCTCCCCAACTCACACCTTGGGTCAGGCTCCTGCAGAGGTTCAGGCTGCAGATGGGGCAAAGAGGCCGTGGGTGGTGAAGCAAGGGGGTGCCTCTCACATATGCCCACCTTCCCTTCAGCAGACAGATGTGCCAGAAGTGGAGGAAGCAGGGATGGTGCAGAGGTTCAGGTGCACTGAGCAGTCAATTCCTGGTCCGAGCCCAGATCTCCACTCCCAGGCTGGTCTTGGTGCCTCAGCTGAGGATGCGGTGTGTCTGAGATGGTCTCCAATGGTCAGTCACATGCCCAGGAGGATGTGGGTGGCAGTGATGTGTCCCTCACTCCCAGCCCCTCCCCTGCAGAATGTGCTGGCGCAAGCTGTGATCCAGCTCCCCTGCAGAGGCTGGCCAGGGAGATGTACACAGAGATATCCTGCCAGGTTGCATCTCAGAGGGGCAGGGTTGGTGCCTGGCCACTGGGTTGGGATCTGAGGTTACTTCCTGTCTCACCAGCCATTACCCAAGCCACCGGGTTTCTCAGTTTCTCCTCCTAATTCTCCCGATGCCAGGCTGTCATGCTGATGTGCACAGAGGTGTGGGTTGGTCTCCAGGGGACAAATCACCCTCATTCCTGTTTTCCCAAGGCACTGAGGTGGACACGGATGTAGCAGGTCCTTCTTCTCCAGACCTGCTCCTCATAGAAGACAGAAATGTGCTCAATGCACAGTCCCCACTTCCCCATCCTTCCCCCAGACTGGCTCCAGCCCACTTTCTTGCCCCACACCATGGTTCAGATACTGTTTGTCCTAAAGTCACAGGGCCTGGATCTGAAGCAGCTGTGTGACATTAGGAGTGTTGCTTATGTCTTACCTTTCTCATCTATAACAGGGGAATAAGGAAATGATACTGAAATGAACACGTGAACTAAGGCCTGTGACGTTCATAGTAAAGCAGCAATAATTAATAGAATTGTTATTGTTAGTCACAGAACACAAACCCTTCCTGGCACATTTGCCGAGACCACCGCGAACCTACTGTCTCACACCCTTTAGGTGCAGGGGAGCCCCCACCCACGACCTTCTCCCACCCCACCCCCGCACTGGCGCTGTGCAAACACTTCTACCCAGAGCTGCAGGCTCACACCCACACACCTGCCAGGGAAGCGGGCGCGCCTATTCCCGGATCCCCTCCTCTGCCGGGAGCCCACTGCAGACCCAGGGCCGCCACCACCCCACGTGGTGCCCCAGACTCCAGCAGCGGCCCCGAACAGTAATTCCCTCAACAATGGTGCTTTCTGTGCGCGCCGCGTCTCGCTAGCCAGCGCTCACCCTCGGTCTCCCGTCCTCCTATCGTCCGCCACTCAGGAATAGGGCAGGGGGCGCAGGCCCGTCCCGCTACCCCTGCCGCCTCGGTGTGAGCCCGGTCGGCCTTCACGCACCCCCTGTCGGAGCCCGCGCCCGCCCGCCCGCCGCGCCGGGGCCGTTTAAATGGGCCAAGTTGTGGTGGCGGCGGCGGCGACGACGGCAGGAGTCTCCCAAGTCCCCGCCGGGCGGGCGCGCGCCAGAGTACGCGGGTGCGCGGCCCGGGCGGCGGGGCGGGGCGGGGGCCTGGGACCCCCGGGAGGGGCGGGGCGCGTGGCGGGAGATTTCTCGGCTCCTCGCAGCCGCGCTCTGCCTGGAGGGCGGACCAGCTAGCTGGGGGGCGGGGCCGCCCCAGGGGGCGCGGGCGCAGGTGGCCCGGCGCCCCGTGGAGTCCCAGGGCCCTGGAGCCGCGGCGCTCGGCTCGTCGATCCGGGATCGATAGCAGCTCCAGCAGCACCATGTCTCGGGCAGCCGAGGCCCTGCCAGCCAGGCGGGCGGCGCGGCGGCGGCGGCAGCTGCCGGCGCCGGGACGCAGTAGCGGGTAGGGCGGGCGCGCGGCCAGGCGCCTCCCGGGCCCCCTCCCGCCGACGAGACCCAACTCCAGCTCGGGAACAAGTTGAGCCGGCGGCGGGGAGCCAGGTTGCAGGACCACTGGCCCGCCATGCCAGCGGTCAAGAAGGAGCTCCCGGGCCGCGAAGACCTGGCCCTGGCTCTGGCCACCTTCCATCCGACCCTGGCGGCGCTGCCTCTGCCGCCGCTGCCCGGCTACCTGGCGCCACTGCCCGCCGTGGCCGCCCTGCCCCCGGCCGCCCCGCTACCTGCCGCGACCGCCGGCTACGAGGCGCTGTTGGCTCCGCCGCTCCGCGCCCCGCGCGCCTACCTGAGCGTGCACGAGGCCGCCCCACACCTCCACCTGCCCCGGGACCCTCTGGCCCTCGAGCGCTTCTCGGCCACTGCGGCCGCGGCACCGGACTTCCAGCCGCTGCTGGACAACGGCGAGCCGTGCATCGAGGTGGAGTGCGGCGCCAACCGCGCGCTGCTCTACGTGCGCAAACTCTGCCAGGGCAGCAAGGGTCCATCCATCCGCCACCGCGGCGAGTGGCTCACACCCAACGAGTTCCAGTTCGTCAGCGGCCGAGAAACCGCCAAGGACTGGAAGCGCAGCATCCGCCACAAAGGTGCGCCCGCAGGGGGGCCGCGGGCCGCTTCTGTCCCTCCCCTCGGCTCCCCAAGACCCCTGGGTCCGAACCCCACTCATGCTGCCATCTGGGAAACTCCATCGCCGCCCAGAGAGGGCGCTGTAACTCCGGGGCTGCAGCAGGGGCACTCCCCCCGCCCCACCCCCCGCCCCCCAACCGCAGCAAAGTCTGCTCGGTGGACGCCGGCAGAGCGCCCTCGGCCTCCGCGTTCGCCAGCTCCCGCTGCGGTGCCCTGGGCTCCTGCTGCTCACTAGCCAGCCGCTCCTTACGCGCCGAAGGTCTGCGGGATCCCTGAGCCTCGAGCCGCAGGGGAAGTTTACGGGAACTCAGGAAAGCAGGCGGGAGGTCGGCTGGGCAGGACACTCCCCCGCACCCCGACCCCCAGACGCGGAGCCGCGGGTTCTGGCGGGAGTGGAGGGGAACACGTGTGGCCGGGGCGCGGGTGCGCGCTGCTGGAGAGAAGGGCAAGGCGTAGGGGTGGCGCAGGCAGGTGGGGGACGCGGGTCGCGCGCCGGGGCGGGGACGCGCGCGGAGCAGGAGCGGCGGCGGAGCTGGGAGCAGCTTGTTGGGCTCCTGCAGGAGTCGAGCTCCAAGGGTGAGACGGGTGGGCGCCTGAGCTGGCAAGCAGGAGAAGGGCGGTGAGCGGGGGTGGGGGGAGTTAGAAAGTTAGGGACCCAGTGGCGTTCGACTTTGGGGTTCGCGGCTCCTCAGTGGCTTCCTTCTTCCCGCTGCGGGGTCGGGTGCAGCCCCAGGTCCTGACTGCGCCGCTCACCTGTCCCCGGGCTCAACCTTCCTCGGCCCTTCTCGGGGTTCCCGCGGACCAGCTTGGAGAGGGTGGAGCTCGGGAGAAGGGGCGCAGGAGGGAGGAGGAAGAAGCTGCCCTTGGTCAGGGGACGGTGCTCGCCTGATCTGCCGTTTCTGAGCTCTGCAAATCCCGAGGGTGGTGTGGGCGGCCGGGCTGGGCGGCAGGTTTGAAGTTGAACTGCGGTGGGTGTTCACACTCGTGCTGGGAGGGGGCTGGGCATTGCTGCTGACTGCGCCCCGAAAGTGCCCGAGTGCCGCCCACTCCCTCACTGGTCCTGCCTTGGCTCTCCTCGCAGGGAAAAGTCTGAAGACGCTTATGTCCAAGGGGATTCTGCAGGTGCACCCTCCGATCTGCGACTGTCCCGGCTGTCGAATATCCTCCCCGGTGGTGAGATGTGGGAGAAAGTTGGGCTTCGGGGTCTTTTTCTTCCCAATGGAACATGGGCATATTTTGTAAGATCCAGAATCCTATCCTCAACTCTGCCAGTGTGCAGGAGGGAGCCCCAAGGGCAAATAGGGGCGACTTTGCTTGGAGTGGGAATCCTGTGGCATCGAGAACCCCCCACCCGTTTGGATCCTGCCTCTCCTGAAGCTTTTCTTTGGGAACAACCCAGGGTGTGAAGGTTCCTCCCTGGAGAGTGTCTTCCCACTGACTTGGGGACTCTGCCCATTACCAGTCTGGGGGTCACCATGTCATCTGGCCCAGATTGGAAGAGGTGCTGATCCTAGGGTGATGCTTGTTCCGGGGTCTGACCCAGTGTTGGCTGGTCCTCATGAGTGTTCTGGGGTTTGGATGGAGCCTGCCGGAGGAGACCCTGGGTGTGCAGGACTGTCTGGGCAGCTCTGTGCTCGGTGGGCCTTGGGCAACCAGAGCTGAGGCTGGTTGGAGGTTGGTGTGGGGCCCCCAGCCCAGGGGCGACATCCAAGGAGCCCCTCAGGGCCTGGGAGAGCTGAGCAGTGGGTGCTGTGCCTGCCCCGGCACCTGTCCCCCAGGCAGCAGTGGGTGGAGGATGGATCTGGAAAGGAAATTGTATCTTGAGAAAGACCAATTTTGAACCCCTGGGGGGAGAGCCAATTAGAGCCCTGGCTGCTGGTGGGTGGGTTGTGCTCCCCCTGCTGGCACCACTCAGCAAAACCCTCTGGCTGGAAAGGGTGAGAGGGGCAGAGGCTGGTTGTTTGCCTGAGGTCCCTGGCCTTGGCCTTAGGCTCCTCTTCCTTAGAGCAGTAGGGTGGGGGAGGGGTGTCCTGGGTTCCTCTTGGGCCCTGGTGGCAAGTAATCTGGGCAAGCTGGGAAGCCACGGACACACCTGTGAGGACAGACACGTGGTCAGACACCAGTGGAGCAGCGGAGGGGGCTCTCATATGCCCACCGCAGACATGCTCTGACAGGAGCTCCTCACCCTGCGCACTGGGCTCCCCAGTGTGTGTGCCCAGGCAGCCCACCTCCCGCCCACGGCCACCGTGCCGTCCTGGGGCGAGAGACCGAGCTGTCTCTCCACTTCTGCACCTTCTCCAGCAGCTGGGCACCATCTAGGCTGGTCTGGAGTTTCTGTGCAGGTGGGAAGAGCCCTGCCTCTCCCACAGGAATGGAGCAGCAGGGCCTGAGCCCGGCATCGGTCTCCCGTGGACACTGCTTGGATGGTGGTTCGGACAGGGATGGGGACACAGTCTAGGGCTGCCTGCCTGTCTGGGGCTCCCAGATCCTTGCTTTTCGTGAGCGATGGCTCAGACCTGGGCCTGGTCCCTCCCAGGCCGGTCCCCACACCCTCTCTTAAGAAGGAGCTCCTTGTCTTTCCAGCCTTCACTTTTTCCACGCAGAGCTGTCTTCCCCACCCCCACAGCCAAGTCCACAGGTGTGTGTACACTGCAGTCACAGACAGCCCAGGGCAGAACGTGGGTGGGCACATGGCGCAGGGATCACGCAGCCACGAGGGGGCCACCGGTACTTGGCTGGGGGCAGTTTTCTTTTTTAAAATATATTTAATTGATTTGTTTAGAGAGGGAGGAAGGGAGAGAGAGAGAGAAATATCGATGAGAGAGAACATCGATCAGCTGCCTCCTGCACGCCCCCCACTGGGATCGAGCCCACAACCCAGGCATGTGCTCTGACTGGGAATCGAGCTGGGACCTCTCAGTCCACTGAGTCACACTGGCCAGACTCAGCCCCGTTTTCAAATCTGTGCTGCTGAGCAAGGGTGAGTGGCTGAGGTCACTGGTGTTCGTGGGAGGCGTGATGTCCCCTGTCCTTGGCCAGGGTCAGGGCTGCCCATCCTGGTTCCGCGTCTGAGACCCCTCCCCCAGGAGCACCCCAGGCCAGCATAGCAGGTCTGGCCTCATCCCAGGCAGCAGCCTTAACCACCAGCTCCCTCGGATGAGAAGCAGAGGGCGGTGCATTTCCTTTCCCTCTTAAGAGGGTTTGCTTTGGGCAGGAAGGCAGGAGAGGCGGTCCTGGCGGGGCCTGCAGCAGGCTCCCTCAGGGCAGAGTTGATGGGGACCCCCCGCTGAGCTGCTGCACACACTCCCAGCCCAGGCTGGCATGTGGAGGCCGGGACCAGACTGGTCACCCCGCAGCCTCGCCCATGCTCTGCTGGTGCGGGTGGAGCTCTGGGCCGGGGTCCTAGAGGGGCCGCAGAGCAGGCTCGTCTGCAGGCTGCACCCCACGCCCACGCCGGCCCCCGCTACCCCGTCCTCTCATTTAAGTGTTGCAGAGAGGAGACTGGAGGGTGTCCCAGGTAGACTGCTGAAGGAAGGGATGGAGGAGAAGGAATGGGGGCTCCTGGAGCCAGGGGTGGGGACACGGTCTGGAGGTGACAGAGGTCTGCGTCTGACGAGAACCTTCACTCTGGAGGACAGTGGCTGCGTAGCTGCTCTGTAGTCCAGGGTGACACTGGTCCAGGGAGGCCAAGGTCCTTGACACCCTGCTTCTCAAGCTCAGGGGTGTAACGGGGATGCGTGGTCCTGGCAACAGGGAGAAGGGGAGCAGAGGAGGCCCCTGGGACTGAGGAGGAGAGTTAGATAATCCCAAGGCCCCCACCACCTTCCTGAGCCAGTGGCCTGTTATTAAATAAGAAAAAGCTTCCTACCCACTAACTCTTCCTCTGCCCCTGGGTGGCGGGACCCGGACACGCTGGACGGTGCCGTGCGCAGGAAACCTGCCTGTGTGTGCGTGATCTCTGAGCACACCGTCTGTGCGCAGTGCCCTGCGGGTCTGCGGTCCTGGCGCAGGACCGGCAGTTCCGTGCCTAGAAGCCCTGCTTTGAGCACAGGGGTGGGGGTGGGGGGCCTCGGGGAAGCCTGGCTCGCTCAGGGCTCCAGGGCTCGAGGCACCCAGCTGGTCCCGGTTCCTGGCCAGGTGACCTGTGAACCACAGGCCTGCACTTTGCAAGGGGGCAGCAGGCTCAGGCCCCAGGCTTCAGGCTTCAGACCCCCTGAGACCTGGGCTCTGCGTGGCTTGGTCTCAGCTGGGGGTTCACAGAATCGGAGTAGGGTTGCCAGGCACACACATGCACACAGAGGGCACTGCATGTCCAAGGAGGGACAGGACACACAGGCGGGTGACCCCTCCGGGCTCTGAGGAGCTGGGTCCGCCCACACTCAGGCTGCCTGGAGTGTGGAGTCTCAACAAGGCAGTGCCCAGAGCAGCCTGCCAGGGCCACACCTGAGCCCAGCCCTGTCCAGGATGTAGGGTCGCCCGTGAAGGGGCTCTTGCCGAGGCCTTGTCCCCCTGCTCTGGCCCTCGGCTCAGCTGCGGCCTTTGCCTACCATGGAGCCTGTCTTGGAGGCTGGCGCCCCTCTACTTTTGGGGGCATGGGCTGGTGACTGCGCCTGCTTGATCTCAGCAAGGCTCCGTCACCTGGGCCTGCCAGCCACCCAGGGGCCGAGGGGCCTCACCTTCCTGTCCTCCCACTCTGCCCAGAACCGGGGGCGGCTGGCCGACAAGAGGACAGTTGCCCTGCCCCCTGCTCGGGTCCTGAAGAAAGAACTGACCCCCAGCTTCTCAGCTAGTGATGGCGACAGCGATGGGAGTGGACCGGCCTGTGGGCAGCGGCCGGGCCTGAAGCAGGAGGACGACACACACGTCCGTATCATGAAGAGAAGGTAACTCTCCCGAGCTCCAGGTGTGGAGGGTACACGGCTCAGGTGCGGGCGGGGACCCGAGATGGGTCTCCAGGCCTGGGGGGGTCCTTGCCCTGGGGACAGGGCCCCAGCTTAGCTTGTAGCTCAGCCCCAGCTGAAACAGAACCTGGACGGCCAGGGACACACCGCCTCTCCATTGCACAGGACCAGTTAGAGCCCCCCTGGCCCCCGCTTGGAGACGAAGGGCCACGCCAGGACTGGGTCAGCACTGCGGGAGCAGGGAGCGGGCACCCCCAGCGGTGGTCCCTGCCATGGCCAGAGTGGGCCAGGGAGGGTCCTGGGGAGGGGCGGAGCTGCTGGGTGTGAGGGAGGAACTGGAAGGAGGGCAGTCAGGGAGCCGGGGTGGGGGTGGGGTGCCTAGTCCCTCGCAGCGTCCCCAGGCCTGGGTGGACCCTCCCTCAGCAGCCCCGGGCCCTCCCCATCTCATTCGGGTGTGGTGCACCCTCCTGACCCCCCCCCCCCCCGCAGAGAAGCCTCCCTCTGGCCACTCACTTCTTCTGTCTGTCTGTCCATCTTCTGTTCGTCCAGCACTTGTGATGCTTCCCCGGAATTTCTCGGCCTCTTCCCACCTCGGCCTCCCGCACTTCCCAATGTCTCCCACCCTGGTAACCCCGGGCCCCCAGGACTCCACTGCCCAGCCCACCCCACTCCTGCTTCCCTGCTGCCCCTCAGCCGCGGGTCTTTCCGGAACCCCTGCTGAGGTGGAGGGCCTGGCGTCTCCCCTGCCTCTGCTGTGCAGTGGTCACTTTTGGGGGCCAGTTGGCAACAGCTGGGACCCCAGGGAGCCTGTGCCGGGCTGACATCCAACGGCAGTACTGGCGGCTCGCTCCACGGCCTGGTTGCAGCCGGAGTAGCTCTAGCCACTAGGAGTTGGGGTGGGTCACACGAGTGACATGCAGAGGAAGCTGCAGCCCCCACCCCGGCACCACACGGCGCCTCTGGGCCCGCGGCGGAGACATGGCGGCCTTAGCTCTGCTTCCCAGTCCTCTGTGGTGAGGGCAGGAGCTGCCGCGGCCCCGAGGCCTTTCCTGGCAGCAGCTGCGGTGCTGGCCTGGTCCCAGACGGTGCTGGAGACGGGCCTGAGCCAGCGCGCTTCCTTCGGGGCTGGCGCCTGGGGCAGGTGAGGGGCACCGTCCTGGAGGCCATGCTGACCGTCTGCTTCTGTCCTTGCAGGGTCCACACCCACTGGGACGTGAACATCTCCTTCCGAGAGACGTCCTGCAGGTGGGGTCCGCGCCCGGGCCGGGCTTCGTCCCACAGTGTTCTGCTTCCGCCCTCCTCCGTCTGTGGTTTGTCTGTCTGTCTGTCTGTCTGTCACTGCGCCTGGGCCTTGGCAGCAGCACGGGTGGACCCTGGGCAGCCCAGCCCTGGAGCCAGAGTCCCTGTCCCCCATGAGCCCATCTGCCCAGGGATGAGGCCATGGCTTCCCCTCCCCCCTTCCCAGAGACCCAGCAGGAGGTGAGCGGGGTGGAGTGAGTGGGGTCTTGAAGAAAGCATAGGAGTTCCCCAGGGAAAGGGTGTCTGCAGAGACATGGAGAAATGAGGGGTGGGGGGGGGAGGGCACGAGGTGGGGAGTCTGGCTCATTAGATGCTGGGCCTCTGGGCACTGTCCTCCGGCACAGGAGCCTGCAGGAATGTGGAGCAGGAGAAGGGGCCCTGAGACCCGCCCAGCGGGCTGGGGGTTGCCCAGTCCATGTGATTTAGGCTACGGAAGCAGGATGGAGGGTGATAAGGATGAGGGGACCTGAGAGGAGGTTGGGGGCATTGGGGACAACCCAAGTTTCCACTTCCGGAGGTGGTCATCTGTGGGCAGAGCTCAGGCTGTGGCTTCTAGTCAGTGGGGTCAAGTCTCATCCCAGGCTTCTGGGGAGGCTGCAGGAAGGGCCAGAGGGCACTGGCATCCAGGTCGGGCCTGGCGACCTCGGCGGAGCCCAGGTGGGAGCTGGGCCTCCCCACTCCCAGCCTGGTCTGAGAAGGTCTGGAGCCAAATTATAACGAAAACATTTTCAAACTTACTTGGTCGTTTTTACAACCGTCATGAACGTTGATGACATCTGGGGCTGGTACTTGGGAAGCTACAGGATACATTTGTCAACGCCAGCTCTGCCTGCAGCCCCTCCTCCCCCTGCGCCGCCTCGGGAAGTAGGGCAGGGTCCCAGGTGTCCAGACACAGGTGGCAGAAGCAGCTAGGATCCTCTCCGGGCTTTTATCAGAGGAGAGGTGGGCCCTGCTCAGCCCATCTGCCCGCCCCCACGCTGCCCCAAGTCTGGCTGGGGAAGGCATACCGCCCAGCTGCCTCACGCTGCCCGCCCTGCTTGGTTTCCCTGTCCCTCTGTCTGTCTGTCGTCTCCCACCTGTCCTTCAGACTCGGTCGAGCTGTTCTGTCATGCCTGTCTGTCTGCCGTCGTTGCTGTCTGTCTGTTCTTCTGCATCTGTCATTCTCCATCTGTCAGTCTGACTCCATCATCCATCTTCATCTGTCCATCGTCTGTCTGTTTATCCCCGTCCCTCTGTCCGTCTGACACTGAAGTGGACAGGTCTGTGCAGGGGGCAGCAGGCAGATGTGGTCCCTGCCCGTTGAATTCCCTGAGATGTGATGGTCACCAAGGGAGCCTGGAGGAGCCCAGGGCCCCTCGGGCAGGGCTGGGGTCTGACGGGTCCTGCTTCCCCCAGCCTCCCAGTGCACCTGCCTCCAGCCAGCCCCACCACAGAGCCTCAGAGCCCTCCTCCCTGGCGCACAGCGGGTGAGGGTGTTTTTATGGCTCCGAGAACCTCACGCTGGGATGCCAGGTGCAGGGTTCATGCTATCCGTGCCGTTTCTTTGTGGCCTAATGTGCTCAGTGAGTGACCAGAGCAGGTTTTCCAGGACAGGGACAGGCTGTCTTGGGGCCTGTGGGACGAACCCCCAAGGCAGAGACCGAGGTGTCCTGGTTCCCATTGGGCATCACCTCCAAGGGGCCGCAGCACCCCTGAGTGTCCGAATGACCGGCCAGCGGGTGAAAGAGCTAATGACTGTATTGGGTCAGGACAGACCCCATGGGCCTGTTCTCACCGCTCAGCCACCTCCTGCAGGAGCCCTGGGGACCCAGAAGGGGCCTTGTCGGCCCTGCCTCTAGGCCCAGCCCCTCCCTGGTGCTGAGACAGCAGCTCCCCTCTGACCCGCCTCCCGCCCCTTGAGTGGCTGAGGACGACCAGGGGGTGGATTAGCTGCCACTTAGTCCCCTAAAGGACCTGCTCCCACCCTCCCTGCCCCCCTGTCTGCATGGGGGGGCACCTCTCCTGAGGAGGGTGGGGTGGCGAGGGAGCCCAGCCTTCTCATCTTTGGTGCTGAAACTGATCTGCTTAGGGGCCAGCCCCAGATTAGCTGCTCAGCCGCCCAGGCCAGGGGGCGGAGGCTATTTAAGGAGGTTTAGGGTCGGGTCCCAGGTCACTTTGTGGAGGTCCCCCCGCAGTGGCCCAGCCAGGAGGCGGCTCTGTTACAGGTGGGCCAGGGACCAAGGGTTCTGGGGGCAGACCCTCCCCCCCTCCCCTCTGTCCTGTCCTGACTTCTTTCGGCTTCTGGCTGCGTCTGCCCCTAGGCAGCCGGGTGGCAGGTGACCCTTCTCGGTGCCGACTGATGGAGTGGGGGACCATCCCACAGTCACACTGGGGCTTCCTCACTCCCTCTTCTCTCTGGGGTTCTTTGATGATGTAGGGCTGGACTGATTTAGCAGGAACAGAAATGAGGGGACAACAGAGTAAAGTACTTGCTTACCCCCAGCCCCCTGCCCTGGGCCCGGCTGAGGTCCTCCTTGGAGCCTTGAGGTGAGCAGGCTCCAGTCTGTCCGCGTAAGCACGTCCGCAGGGCTGTGTGCATGCGCATCTCCATGGCTGCTGGCCTTTGGTCTGACCCTTGGTTTCCCTATTGAAGAGGTTGGGGTCTACGGCTGCGCAGGAGTTTTAGTGGATGGCGCGGGTGGCGCGGCAGTTGGTGCTCGTGCCTGTGCCAGCGCCTCTCCGGGCTGCCAGGGGCAGGCACACCTCCTGGTGGGTGCTGGCTGCCCTCCAAGCAGGGGGCAAGGACACAGCCCTGGTCACCCTGCAGAGAGCATGGCAAGGCTGCACCCACCCAGCTCTGCACAGACCCGCCCCCGAGCTGCGGTGGGGTCTGCGTGCCCAGCAGGTACTTGGCAGGTGCCAGCTGTCCGGGTGGGACCTGCTGTGGGGACACTTACACATGGTCTCAGCAGCCACCCTTGGAGGTGTGCACAAGGCACCCTCAGGCTTGAACGGGCACTCCTCGTGCCAAGGGTGGGCGCAGGCCTCACAGGGCCCCCTTCCCTGCCTTGCCTCCTGCAGCCAGGACAGTGACCTGCCCACCCTCATATCCAGCCTGCATCGCAGCAGCCGCCTCGTTATGCCCGAGCACCAGAGCCGCTGTGAATTCCAGAGAAGCGGCGTGGAGCTAGGCCTGGGAGGCGCAGGTGAGGAGCCTGGGGGGACTGGGGCCAGCAAGGAGCTCCAGGGCCACAGCAGCTCCGCCTGAGGGCGTCTCTGCTCAGTGGCTCTGGAGGCTGCCACCCCCAGTGGCCTTGGCAGGCAGCCAGGGAGGCCAGCGAGGAGGCGGGAGGTGGCGAGGCCGGCTGTCCCCCGGGGCTCCATGTGATGGTAATTGTGTTAATCCCTACCAGCAGGGCAGACAGGGGGCGGAGGCAGTGGCTCCATGGTGGCTGATGCAGGGGTGGGCTTGGAGTGACCGAGGCCCCTGCTCACAGGGGCAGAGGGAGGCAGGGCGGCAGGGGTGTGCAGGCCTCACTGAGGCTCAGAAAGGAGCACCTGCGAATGCTGTGCACAGAGCACCCACCAACCCCACAGCGCACAGGGTCTCAACAGGGAAGAGTCCATCCTGGGAGAGGGGAACTGGGGCCTAGGCCTCCAGAGGGGTGGCAGGAAGGTGCTCGCCCAGGAGCTCTGGGGTCACCTTGGAGGGGTGTCTCCTCGAGAGCAGTTGATCGGGGTGGGGGGGCGCTGCTTGAGGACTCAGGCCCTCCTCTGAGGACTTGGCTGCAGAGTTGGGGAATAGCTGAGCTTCAGCTGAAGCTGGAGGGGTGTGGGGTGTCCTGGGCGCCCTGGGCAGGGACCTTTCGGGCAGGGGATGCCGGCCTCAGGAAGGCTGGGCAGGGGATGGGCAGCGTCCCGGGCCCCCCACGCATCCTGTTGGGGCCCCAGGACTGCCTGCCTGGGAAGGCCCTTGTGGGGAGGGGGTGTTTCTGGAGGCCGCTGAGCAGGCAGCTGATACAATCTAATTGCCCCATCGATCGGGCGGAGCCTCGGGAGTCCTGCAATGATTGAGATGTCCTGCCGCAGCCCCTCCCTGCGCGCTGTCTGGAGCTGGGCCGTGTGCCCTGCCCCCAGCCACAGGCTGGCTCGGGCCAGCGTGGCTGTGTCAGGGTGTCCTCACTCACTTGGTGCTGAGGTCACACTGGCTCTGCAGGAAGTGCCACCTGTGCACTGGGTCCAGGTTTCATCAAGGTCTGGACCTCTCCTCAGCGCGTAGTCCCCTGTCTCCCTGCGTTCCCGTGGCCCTGGCGTGGGCTTCACCTGCTTCTCCCCAGAAGCCACATGTCAGTCCGGTCCCTGCAGTCCCAGCCCCTCCCTGGCCCTTGAGCCGGAAGGTCAGGGAGGCCTGTGAGGGGCCCAGGTGGGTTGGTGCGGCTTCTTGTGATTGTGTGTCTGCTTCTGCCGGCCCGGCTGAGTCCCTGCACGAAGGTGGCCCCAGACCCCCTGGCAGGAACTGCTGCAGCCACCACATGGGTTCACTGGCGGACCCTGGCACCCCCATAGGAAAGGGTAGGTTTAGGAGGGTTCCACGGTGGAAAATGGGGAACAGGTCGCAGGAAGGCGAGAGCCCTGGGTTATTTGCTAAACCTTAAAGTGTGTGTTCGGGTTGGGGTATTGACCCAGCCCAGGCCCAACCTCAGGCCAGGGACAGCCAGACATCCAGTCCTCCTGCCTGAGACCCTGAGGCCACAGGGCTGTCCACTTGGGCTTCCTCAGGGGCCTCACGCTGGCTGTTCCCCCATCCTGCCAGGCCCCTGAGGTAGGGATGGGGCAGGGCCTGGGCTGAGCCACGGGGCCCAGGCCAGTGGCAGCAAGGTGGCCAAGATCAATAAGTTATTAGCACCATTCTGTCAGCTGTAAAGTGGAGATTGATCGCGCCGCACTTCCCAGGCTGATAAAAATGACAGATTAAGGGAATAAGGAAAAGGAATTAGGCTCTGGAGCTGATGGTCGTGCCCCTTCGCGGAGGTGTCATAGTGGCCCTGGGTCACAGAGGAGGCAGATCCTGCACCCCACCCCCCAGACAGCCTCGGGAGATGGAGAGGGGGCCAGGGCCTGGCGGCCAACACTGTGGTGGGCCCTGGAGAGCAGGACCACTGCTGAACTCTTCACGGAAACCCTAGGCCCGGGCTCAGGAGGGAGCCTGGTGTACAGGGCCAGGGACTGGGATGGAGACAGCTGGCTCAGGGTCACGGATGGATGTGGTTTGGATGTGGGAGCTGAGAGAGGACTTCAGGGAGGGATGGAGTGGGGTGGGACTGGCGTGTGTGTATGGGGTGGGGGGCTGAGCAGTGGGTGAGGCTGCTCAGGGCGTCCTCCGGAGCTCAGAGCCTGCTTGGCAGCTGGGCGGGCCTGTGACAGGCAAAGCCAGGGTGCTGGCTCAGGTTTCTAGGGGCAGTGAAGGGTGTGGCCTGGGTGGAGGACCTAGGGGTATTGGATGTGGCAGGTGCACCCGTCCTCAGGGGCCTCCAGGTGGCCTTAAGAACCTGTAGCCTGGAGACCTCCCTGAGCAGGAAGAATGTGGGGCACCCCGGCATGGGCTCCTGCACCACCAGTCCTCACCCCTGTCCTGGGAGTCACATCAGGAGCCTTTTCCTGCTCTCTGGTAGGGTGCTGAGCAGGCCTGCATTTGCACAGGACACCCGTCTGGCTGGGTAGGGGCAGCCGGATGCCTGTGGGGTCCTGAGCTTCCACCTGAGGCTGTTACCAGAAATCTGCCATCCCATCTGCACATACACACCACAGAGCCCAGGGTCAGGACTGTCCTCCGGCTGTCCTTGGGACTCTGGTTAGGCAAGGCCTTGACCTGGCCAGGACCCCTGGACACCTTGAGCAGCCATGGGTGTGGTTCTGGGCTGACCTGGGGCTGGGCAGGGACAAAGGCTGCAGTTGGGGTGAGCCTGGGCCCTCCCTGTCCCTCCCAGTCTCCATCCCTTCCAAGCCCGGAGACACAGGGTGAGGCTCACTGTGCCCTCCACCAGGTGACCTGCTGGGCAAGAGACTGGGCTGCTCCCCCCACGTCGGCACTGACTGCCCTTTGGAGAAGAAGGCTCGAAGCAAGTCCCCCCAAGGTGGGTGGTGGGACAGGTTCCTGGAGGGGGAGGGCACAACTCAGACCCTCTGCAGGGTGGAGTATCTGAAGAAGACCCCTCTCCATGTGCTTCCCCCAAGCAGAGACTCTGCTGCTGCCAGAGCTAGGGCCCAGCATGGCCCCCGAGGACCACTACCGCCGGCTGGTGTCCGCACTGAGCGAGGCCGGCACCTTTGAGGACCCTCAGCGTCTCTACCACCTGGGGCTCCCCAGCCACGGTATGTGCCCTCTACCACGCGTCCACCACGTGTGCTGAGCTCTCTGCCCCTGGAGGCCGACCCTCACCCTGGAAAGAAACCCTGGGGTCTTGACTGCTGACAGCAAGGATGCACTGGGAGCAGGTCCATCAGCAAGCTCCCTGTAGCTGGGCAGAGCATGCGCTCCTGCTCCCTCCACCTGAAGCAGAGCCCCTCCAACAGGTCCCCTGTGGCTTCATTCCCTACCAGATCCCCACCCACTGTCCCCCACCGCAGGGCCACCCCTACCTCTTGCCACAGGCAGGCCGTGTCACTTCACACGGGGTGAGCCTGAGTGGGTGTGGGATTGACGCCCCTGCGCAGTCCACGCAGGCTGCCTACGCCCTGTCGGCACTGCGGGCCTGCTCACTCCAGCTGGAGGGTGTGACAGTGTCAGGTGCCTCCTCCAGAGAGTCTCGGGGTGGGAGGCCCCAGAGGAGGGAAGCAGGCAGCTTGGAACTTCCCCTGGCGGAGTCCAGAGGCAGGGTGGGCAGCAGTTGGGATGTGGCCACCAGGACCTCACTGGTGCTCAGGAGAAGCCCAGCTGGAGGCACTGTCCCTGCCCCACCCTGCTCCCCACCCTGCCCACTGCTCCGGCCATCTGGCCATCCCAGCTCTTAGGGGCGATTGGAAGTCCTAGCCACCATCTCAGGATCACACTCCAGCCCCCTGCCCAGATGCACCCTGACCTCACAGACCCCCAGCCCCTAGTCTGGGGGAGCTTGGCTTTTCTGGCTGGAGGTGGACGAGGGGGTGCTGGGATAGGGGGCAGGATTTCCTCTCCTTACACAAGGCACTGTCCCCCAGGGCAGTGAGGCACCGAGAGCCTGAATTATTCACCAAATGTTAATAATTTAAAAATCTTCCTTTTTAATTGCTTTCCCTGCCCTGCCTGGGGCCGGCTCCGCTGGCCTGCGCGAGGGAGGGGGCGCTGGCCGCCGGGGAGCAGCGCCGGGAGCTGGGCTGTCAATCACGGCCCTGCGCCGCCGCCCCCGCTGCGGAGCCGACTGTAAATAACCCAGGCCGCCGGCGCGCGCGGGGGCGCGGAGGCCCCACTGGGATCGACGCAGGCGGCCGCGCCGGCTGGGCTCTGCGGGCTGGCACCCGGCCCGGGCAGGACCCACCTCCGCTTTTCGGGTAATTAATTTATAAACAGGCGGCGGGAGCCTGCACAAATGGGGGGCTGCGGGGGGACTCAGAGGCCCGGCCCTGAGCAGACTGGAGGGACTCAGTTGGGTAGCAGAGTGCATCAGACGCATAGATGGAGTATGCACCACGTGTTACCTAGGAAGGGGTCGCCTAGGCAGCCTCAGTCCTGGACTTCAGCTCCCGGACACTGGTCACACTGCCCTCCAGGAGCAAGCCTGCGCCCTCAACCTTGGGCCTTTGCACGCCCCCCTCCCCTCGAGACCCCTGCAGCCTTGGTTTCCATGCCTTCTGAATTGTCACTATCAACGTGTATGCACCGCCAGCTTCCCCTGCGCGCTGGGTTTTCCCTTCCCTCCCTCCCACTGCATTTTTGGTTACTAACATCCCCATGTCCCTTTGGAATGCTTACATGGCCCCCTCCCAAGACATGGGGTGCCTCCCACCCCCAACCCCAGCATCCTTTAGCTTGTTGCAGCTAATGATTTGTCTCCCCTGCCCTATGGCTTTCTGCTTGTCTTTCTGTCCCAGTGACCAACCAGCTGGGTCAGTGTGAGGACATGCTCTCGCCAGTCCTGGTCTCCTTGGTGTCCTTGGCCAGTGCCCTATGCTCATCAGGGTAGGGGGAGTGAGAGCCCAGGGGGAACCTGGCCTCTGGGTCACTGCTGTTGCCCCCACCCCCCCAGACCTCCTGAGGGTCCGGCAGGAGGTGGCAGCAGCAGCGGTGAGGAGCCCCAGTGGCCTGGAAGTCCACCTGCCCTCATCCACCGCAGGTCAACGTCGGAAACAGGGCCTGGCTCAGCACCGAGAGGGCACCGCTCCAGCTGGCGCCCCATCCTTCTCAGAGAGGTACTGGGGTGCCTGCATCTCAGAGAGGCCCCCCTGTTCATTGTGCTTGTTTCTGGGGTACAAAGCTGGGGAGGATAGACATCACCTGGTTTCTGCAGGTCAGGTCTACAGGCTGCACCTCCCTACTTGTCAGCCACCTTGACTGCACAACCCCCCTCATCCCGGCCACACAGCCTGTGGTCCTCAGTGTGCTAGCCCGAGGCTCATGGCTTCCTGTGCCCTGTGAGCTGGGCAGAGGCCCCGAAAAGCACTCTTGGGTCGAGCTCCTGGGGGTGACCAGCCCTCTGGTCGGACTGTTAAGGGCGATTCCCTTTCACACTGAGCCACAGTGAGACCCGCTGAACCCAGGTGCCCCTGACAGCTGAAGGCTTTACTCCCCCAACAGGTGGGTTAGGGTGCTTGACGCAGATCGGGGAAGCCCGCGGAGGGCGGTGGAGAGGGCCGAAGGGGGAGCGGCCAGGTCTGGAAACCCGAAAGCCGGAGGTGCCTGCCCCCAGCAGCACCGGTCCAGACTCGAGCCTTCGGGGACAGTGACGAGGCCCCCGGCTAGTCGCGGCCCGAGGACCCCAGGCGGGGGCGGGGGCTGACAGCCCGAAGGGGCCGAGGGGCGAGCCGAGCCGAGGCGGGGCGGGAGGAGCTGCGGGGCTCCCGGCTCTGCTGCCCGGCGGCCACAGCACGCCCCGCCCCGGGACACGGCGACCCCCGCCCCAGACGCTGTCTGCAGCCGCCGCCGGGATCGCGGCTAATTGCGCCCCGCCCCCGCCGCGCAGGGTCCGAGGGGCGAGGAGGCGGGGCCCCGATGCGCCCGCGGTAATTACCGCTGCAGTCGCCGCCGCCCGCCGGGTCAGCGCCTCCGCGCCGCCGCCGAGATTAATTGGCGCCGCCAGCGGGGCCGGGCGGGGGCGGAGGCGGCGCGAGACCCGAAGCCGAAACGAGCGGCGCTTCGACCGCCCGCGGGGCCGGCAATTAGCAGCGGCGGCCGGAAGGGGGGCGCGGGGCGGTTCCGGGAATGGAGGGGGCGCGCGGCGCTCACCTCCCTGCCGTCCACAGGGAGCTGTCACAGCCGGCCCCCTTGCTGTCGCCCCAGAATGCCCCGCACATCGCCCTGGGCCCCCACCTCAGGCCTCCCTTTCTGGGGGTGCCCTCGGCTCTGTGCCAGACCCCAGGTGAGAAGTAGGCGAGTGTCTGATCCCTTTGTGCCCCGGGGGGGGGGGGACCTGCGTGCGGGCGCCATCGGGCTTGCCTGTGACCCAGTGTTTCTGTAGGGCCCGCCCCTCCCCGGACAAACGGGGGTGGGGGGGGTTGGGGGTAAGAGCCCGGGCGGCTCCGGACCACCGGCCACCTGGCTTCGCGCTCTGTCCCCTTCGCACCAGGTTTCGGATTCCTGCCCCCTGCCCAGGCGGAGATGCTGGCTCGGCAGCAGGAGCTCCTGCGGAAGCAGAACCTGGCTCGGTAGATGGCAGGGGAACTGGGGGGGAGGTGGCCCCGCCCCGCGGGCTGACACTGCCCTGTGCTCTCCCTGGTCCAGACTGGAGATGTCGGCAGAGCTGCTGCGGCAGAAGGAGCTCGAGAGCGCGCACCGGCCGCAGCTCCTGGCGCCTGAGGCTGCGCTGCGCCCGCCGGATGGTGCCGACGAGCTGCAGCGCCGCGGGGCCATGCTGGTGCTGAGACACAGCTCCGCGCCCGTGCTGGCCCTGCCCCCGCAGGGGCCCCCGGGCCCGGGCCCTCCCACCCCGCCGCGGGAGCCTGCCCGCCGAGCCCCTCGGAAGGGGAGCTCCAGCCCTGCCTCAGCTCGTCCCAGTGAGCCCAAGGAGACCACCGGGGCTGGGCTCTGGGTACAAGATGGCTCTGAAGATGAGCCCCCCAAGGACTCAGACGGAGAGGACTCCGAGATGGTGGCTGTTGGGGGCCAGGGCCCCACCCCGGGTCAAGCCCCAACTGGAGGGGCCAGCTCAGAGGGGAAGGGACTTCTCTCAGGGTCCATGCTGCCCCCTCCACTGCCCCTGGGCGTGCCCTACATCAGCCCCTACTTCCACACAGGTGGGCACCCCCGATGCTCTAGATCTCCCCATGGGGTGGAAGGAGACCCCTCCCCCCCAACCCCCTTTAGGGTATCCAAGGGGAGAAAAGTCCCTTTTAGTCACGAATCCATCATCTCTGAACAAGGGCAAAGGTCAGCAGATGGTTGGGACCCTAGGAAAGAGTCAGTCAAAGTCCTAGTAACACCCCCTCCCAACCCAGGCACCATGGGGGGACTCTTCACGGATGGGGAGGAGGCCACAGCCCCTGAGGATGTCAGCAAGTGGACAGTGGACGATGTCTGCAGCTTTGTGGGGGGCCTGTCTGGCTGTGGAGAATACGCACCGGTGAGGGGGGCACCTGCCCAAGATGGTTCTGTGCTCCCTGTCCCCCAGGGCCTCCTCACCCCGCTCGCCCTCCTCAAAGGGTCTGGGGGGCACTGGCGCATGCTCCCTGCACGCGGTGCTCTGCCTGCAACACTGGCACGTGCCCAACAGAGGAGTGTGTTCTCTCACTGGCGTATTTTTCCTGCAAACGGCACAAATGCTCCGCTCTGGGAGGCCTCGAGCCGCCCCAGAAGCAGCCCTGGTGGGGCCGAGGGACTGCAGGGTGGGCAGGCACCGGTCACACTCAGGCCTGACAGGCTCCCACCTCACACCAGATCTTCAGAGAACAGGGGATAGACGGGGAGACCCTGCCCCTGCTGACTGAGGAGCACCTCCTGACCACCATGGGGCTGAAGCTAGGGCCTGCTCTCAAGATTCGGGCACAGGTGAGTGCCCGTTGGGGCAGTGGTCTCCATCCAGTGGAAGGGCAGCATCAGGGCTCTTCCTGGCTGCAGACTCCCACCTGGGCGTGTCTCTCCGCAGGTAGCCAAGCGCCTGGGCCGCGTCTTCTACATGGCCAGCTTCCCTGTGGCTTTGCCGCTGCAGCCACCAACGCTGCGGGCCCCCGAGCGGGAGCTCACCTCAGGGGAGCAGCCCCCATCCCCCACAATGGTCCCCTCGCCCTATGGTGGGGGTCACCCCACTGCTGGCCGAACCTCACCCAAGCAAGAGAATGGGACTGTGACTCTGCTCCCAGGGCCAGCAGACCCCTCCCAGCCTCTGTGCTGAGTTGTGGGATGGGCCGGCCAGGCCCACGGTCCCTCAGTGCCAGTTGCTGCAGTGCAGAGGCCCCTCCCTCACAGCTCATGTCCTTCAGTTTTGGAAGTGAAAACACACAGAACTTTTAAAAAGAAAACACGTGACTTAAGAGAAAGGAACACCTTCCCAAAGACTTTTGGGGGTACCGGCAAAGCCTGGCGCAGGCCTGGGGATCTGAACCTGGATGCTGCAGACAAACCAAAGACAGGCAGCTCACTGGCCCTGGCTCCCTCTGGAGCTGGGACTGCTCTGGGTCTTCAGCACCCTGACCTCAGGCGAGGTCAGCTTCCCTCACGGGGACATGCCCCTGGGGTGCGGCAGCAGCAGGTTCCACGGTGCAGGGGTCGGGCCCAAGGCCACCGCTCCAGCCATCAGCACACAGCGCTTGGTACTTCATGGTCTTTTGTGTTGTGAAAATAAAGCCCCATCCGCCACCTACTGTCCTTCCCCCATTTGGGCACTGACCCCTGGTGAGATGGGGACACTGCTGACAGGCCCCGCAGCCACGGGTGGTGGCCGAGTCCTCAGTCCTCCTCGGAGAGCTGTAGGTCCTGCAGCTCATCCTCCGGCCCCTGGGCCAGCAGCCGCCACAACTCCCGGGGGGCCAGCTCTGCATCTGCATCTGGGCCTCCATCTGCAGGGAGACACCAAGGCCACATAAATTCTGCTCTATCAGGAAGAAGCCAGCCTGGGGGGTTACTCTTGCTAATTCATCACAGCAGTAATTAATTTATTGGTGCCCTGCTGCTGGCTGCCAGAGCCAACAGGAAAGGAACGGCTGGCCTGACCTCCCAGGGAGGAGCTTTGGGCACCCAGACACAGGGGCTCGAAGGGCACAGCACCCTCACCCCAGGAACCACTCACCCTCTGAGTTGCTAACATCTTGGCTACTACTGCTGCCATCATCCTCATCTTCATCATCCTCATCCTTGTCTTCCTCCTCTACCCTCTGCTGAGCTCCAGAGGACGCAGGTGTACCTGGGGACCAAGGGGAAGAGCCCGTGGGAGAGGCCCACCAGCAAATGCACAGGGGGACAGCTGGCTCAACAGCCCTGCACTGCCCTCCCCTGGGGCCTCCTCCGGCAAGTGGAGAGGACTCAGAACTGCCAGCAGGGGGAGGGACAAGGCCCGCGGACGTTTCCATTTTAGGAGGCCGCGTCTCAAAGAAAAGGGTCAGAGAAGGGACAGAGCAGCCCGCAAACAGGAGCAGAGGTGGGAGTGGGTGCCCTCCCTCCAGCTCCAGGAGGTGCTAGGGACACCTTCCAGGTCCGCCTGACCATCCCCCAAGAGCTCAAGCTGAGCGGGGCAGGCCCACCTCTCTCTGAGAAGTCCACAGCATCCTCCTCACTATCCAGGTCAAAGAGGTCCTTGAATTCCACCCTGTCCTCATCCTTCCTGTCCCCCAGCTTCCGCCGCTTTATCTCAGGGAAGTGCAGATCTTCCAGCTGGGAAGCCCCAGAACAAGGGCAACAGGTGAGGTGTGCCAGGAGCCTCGTCCCAAAGACAGGCTCCACCTAAACCCAGGACCCTGCGTTCTCCCTGCCCCCGGTCACATCCCTCGATCCCACAGAGACCTGTTGGGCCACGTTTCCTACCGACTGCCCATCTGCATCCCTGGGAGTGACCCCTGGATGGCCACCTCACCAGGCAGGTGAGGAGGTCCCAGCCCCCTCTAGCCCTCAAGTGCCATCCAAACCACAGCCCCACCCCAACCACCCTGGCAGATGTGTCCCCAACAGCCCCAGCCCCATCTTAGTCATATCAGGGTGCTAGGGCCTCGTCTCAGAACAGTCCAGCCAGGTATGCCCAGACCCCGGCAGCCTCCCACACACACCCGCTCTTTGCCGCTGATTTCCAGCTGGATCTCACGGTCCCGCAGTTTCCGCCACTGGCTGTAGTACTTAGTGAGCGGAGTCCCCTCCTTGCGGATCTGTTTCTCCCAGTCATCCTGTGGGTAGCGGTTCAGGGTCATGTCCCACCCTGGGCAAAACCCCAAACCCCAGCCACACTGACCAGTGCCCTCCCCACGGACCACGGCCTGGAGGTTTGTCACACCGAAGGAGGCCCTCTGGCGGAGGCTGCAGATGTGGTCTGCATTCTCCTGCAGCTTCTCCAGCAGCTGGCGCACCTGCCGGCAGTAGTTGGCCACCTTGCACTCTCGGAGGAAGGACTTCAGCTGCAGAGGAAGAGGCTCAGCCAGCTCCACAGGCTGCTGTGTGGGTGGCCCGCCCACCCACTGCCCACCAGGAGGGGCAGAGCCCGGGGCCCAGGCCCAGCCACAGAGCTCCCATGCGAGGCTCGTGCACACAGCCTCTCCGTTGCTTCCACGTTTCTGTGGGCTTTTTATTTCGACAGAATTAAGCAGCTGTGGAAACCACAGGACCGCAAAGCCTAAAACATCACCTGGCTCTTTACCAAAAAAAAAAACTTGCGGATCCCTGGGGCTTCAAGCCCAGAAACAGAGCCTTGCACCCGCTCCTGTGTCTAGATGGGCCTCTGCCAGGCACAGCTAGGTGGGAGCAGCCCCACCACCAGAGCCGCGAAGACACAGGCAACACTCCCTCCCCCGAGCACAGGCCTCCCTGAGATGGGGGATATCTAGGCTGGAAGCCAATGGACTTCCGAGAGGAAAGACACCCACCCTACCCCCAGTATTGCCTGGAGAGAAGATGAGGCTGCCGAGGACCCCTGGGGAGCATGCAATCAGTAGACCAGCCCACTCAGTCCCAATCCCTCAGGAAAGACTCATGACATCTGGTCCCCGGGCTGCGCAGGCCTAGAGTCCTCGTGGAGTTTGCCCATGCGCAGATTCCCACACCACAGCCCCAGCACGGGGCCAGGTTCCATCACCTGCTCTGTGGTTGGGACAGACGACCTTCCTCTAGCCCCTGTGTAAACAGGGAGCTGAGTCCATTAAAACACAGTCTAGCCAGCCTTACCACAGGACTCAGAGGGACCTGGGCAGGGGTCGGGTAGCGGGCACACACCTGCAGGATGGCGGGCAGCGCCAGTTCGGGGAACGCGATGCTGTGGGCCTGAGTGTGCAGGTACTCGAGGGTGAGGTCATACAGCTGCTCCACCAGGCCGTCCTGAGGCAGCAGTGCAGAGGAGAGCATCAGGGCATGGGGGAGGGGTAGCTCAGACCACTTCCACCACAGGCTGACACGGCCGCTTACTCTCCAGGGCAAGGAGGAAGGCTGGGACCCCACAACCTCCCTGGAAGCCACACTCAGGCTCCCTGGAGCTGGGCCAACCACCATGGGAGCCCACAAGGATCCATGCTTCAACTCGCAGTGCAGCACACCCCTCCTGTGCACACCCTGCGTGCTGACCCCAGTGTCCTCTGACACCTGCGGCAACCTCAGCCAGGGCCCTCCCTAGGCACCTCCCTGGAGGCCCAGAGGCTGGCCTCACCCGGTAAGCCTTCTCCTGCAGGTTGACTTTGGACAGCTTCAGGATCACAGCGAAGTTGATGGGCTTGGAGCTCATGCGCCCCGGCTTCTTGTTGAAGTCAACCTGCTGGAAAACCTGCGCCGACCCGTGGCCACATCAGCCCAGACTGCAGTGCTGGATCCCGCTCACCCCACCCCAACTGCACCTGGGTCCTTGAAGACCCATCGTGGGAGCAGACCTACAGCCCACAGACCCCCCCCACCCCAAGATACTGCTTGCCTTCCAGAGCTCTGGTGGCCCCCGAGGGAGCCCCTCACCCAGAGTGGGACACTGGCCACTGGGCAGGCCCAGGAGCACGTGCATGCTCACTGCTAGACCCTCTTCTAAAAACTGGGCCAGAAGGCCGCATCTGGAGACAGGAGAGCCCTCCTGCACAGGACCACTGCCACCACACCACCTCACTCTCGACCGCGTTCCCAAGGGCTGCGTCCCCAGCAGTCACACACCAAGGAACACAGTCTCGGGAGCTGGGGCTCGGCTCCCGCGTCCTCTAGAGGCGGCAGGCTGTGCACTTCCCGTCAGCCCTGGCCTCTGGGAGAAGTCCTCCTCCCAAGCGGGAGGCTGAAGCTGCCCAGGGAACAGTGGACTGCCTGGCCCCTCAGCCATACACCTCTCCCACGACCCTCGAAGAGGGCGATCGGGATGAGTTTCCGAGAGCGATGTGTGGCCGAGGCTGGGGGAGCGTGACGGAAAGCATCCCCATCAGGAGCCCAGAGCTGAGCTCAGGACGGCTCCCGATGAAAACAGCCATGGTGACGGCGACCACAACGCGGCCCCTGGGAGGGCACAGCTGCAGCCTGGCTCGGCCCCGGGAGGTCTGACCTCCCACACTGGTGCTCCCCGCCACCCAGGGAGGAGGGCCAGGGCTCCCGGGAGACAGAGCTTGGCTTCCAGCTCTGTGGTCTGTTTCCTCTGGGAAGGAAAGGCCTGCACCGTGGGTGAGGGACATGCGGGACGCAGATGAGGCCAAGACGGGCCAGTGCAAAGGTGTAGGAAAACAGAGAGCGGGCCCAGGGAGACAGTGAACAGAGGGGACAGACAGATGCCCAGGGCACACACACGCACACGGGGACGTGCAGACGCGGCCTTGGAATCAGACCTGGGCTTCCAGGCTGGATCTTGGACAAATGCCCAGATCAAAGCAGGTCTGTGCCCCAAAACCAGCTCCCTTAGGCCCGCCCCAGGAGGCAGCCTGTCCTCAGTGCCGCTCTTGCCAACCAACACAAGCCACCGGCCTGGGCAGACAGAAGGCACCAAGGACAGCGGTGCCCTGGAAGCACCTGTGCTCTGCAGGTGAGGCCCCACCCGCCTCACCTCAAGGACGAAGGGCAGCACAGGGATGAAGGTGCCCGTGCCCTCGGAGAGCAGCGTCAGGGCACGTATGCAGTGCATGCGCAGTGGGTAGAAGCGCGCCGTGGGGACCAGCCTGGGAGCGGGAGAACGGGAGTGAGAGGAGGCCCCGCCTTAGGGACCCCATAAACCCGCCTCACCCTCCTGGCTGCTGCCACAGAGCCCTAGCCTCAGCAGGGGCCCTCCCTATCACCTTTCTCAGGGTCAGAGGCCACACCTGCCCCACCAGATTCCTGACAGCACAGGACAGAACGCAAGGCCTTCAGGACTCGCCTCCTTGCTCGGTTATAGGGCTGCCGGGCCCCCACCAGGCTGGACTTGTTTCCTTTTGAGGAGCGTTTCCTCCCAGCTCTCAGCTCCCCTCAGAAGGACAGGGCTGCCCCCTCCTGGCCAACAGTCACCAGCCCACGCTAAACGTTCACACCCAGGATCCTACACACCAGACCGGATCTGCTGCTCAAAAACCCCATGCGAAGAGACCCAAATTCCCTTCAAACTGCACACGGCCCCCTCTACCCGGCGTCCCCAGAACACACGCTTGGGCTGTGTCCTCAGAGGAAGGTGCTGAGGAGTCACGTCACAGGTGACCCAGAAAGAAGCCTGCTGCCCGGGCCTGGGTGCTCTCTCACACGGGCACCAGAACAGACAGCCCCACCCGGGCCCTTCCACAGATGTTACCAGGTCACAGACCACAGAACCTCCCTGGAAGCCTTGGCCACCTGGAAGAGGACCCCCTGCCCCTCAGGACAGCTCTGTAATCCTGACCCCTCTGACCTCCAGAGCAGCCTCCTGCACCCGTCCCTAGACGACCCACGCCAGCCTGGCTCTCAGGACGCCCACCCAGACTCACTTGATGCAGCCGAGGATGACCTGGGCGAGGGGGTAGACCAAGGGCTGGAGGGTGTCGCTGGGGCAGATGGTGCTGAGGACGCGGCACCACAGCTGCAGGCAGTGCACGAACTGCCAGTTGTACACGGACTGGTGCGTCTCCTGCAGAGCCGCTGGTCAGCCGGTCCCAGGGCCCACCCTCCCCACCACGCACAGGGGCCCAGCAGGCAGCAGCACTGGACCCTCCCAACACCCACCCCAAGGACCCTGGCCCCACCCAGATGCTGGGCTCTCTCTTCCCGGAGGCCCCAGGCCCTGGGCTGGCTCAGCGCCCCAGCCTAGCCACCAACCTTCTTGCGCGTGGTCATGGCATTGCGCAGGTGGACGGCGAGCTGGCGGATGTAGAGGAAGGCGTGCTGGTAGGCCACGCTGGTGTCCAGGGCCAGGAGCTCAGTCAGCGTCCGCTGCATGAAGCCGATGAGGGGCAGAGCGCCGGGAGAGGTGAACTTGCAGTTCTTCACGTACGCGATGTACATTTGCTGCCGGGAGACCAGGCACAGCCGCCTGAGCTCCCAGGGCCCCGAGGCCCCACCGCCAGACACCAGGGCCTGTCCCTCAGAACCGCTGCCTCAGAACCACAGCCCGGTGTCAGTGCAGACCCTCCGCCCGCGGTCCCCCTGCTGCTGGGCCTCCACAGGGCAGTCTGCAGTCCAAGGGACTGTGCTCACAAGGAGGACCTGGTGCCAGGGGAGGGGGAACTCCAGCATAAACCAGTTTGGGAACCAGCAGGGGAACCTCGGAGGGCCTGGGAGGGAGGACCCCCTGCCGCCAGGCCACCCTGGCTGGGACTGGGCACCAGTGTCTCTACCCCTCTCCACCTCCAGGGTCCTGTCCACTGAGGAGAAGTGGCCACCACTTCTCAGAGGAAACAGTGACAAGGACCCGGGTCTGCCTGGAGCCACAGTCCCACTGAGCCCAGCAGCCCTTAGACTGAGACTTTCAACCCTGATCCCAATGGACACTGACTGGGGGCACCACAGGTGGAAGCCACGGGCCCAACCTACCTTCAGGACGGGGCTCAGGAAGGTGTCTTTCTGGTGCCGGCAGGCTCTGACGAGGACCAGGAAGGCCAGCACGCGGAGTGTCTCCTCGCCTGTGCTCCACAGGACCACCATCCTCTGCAAAGAGTGAGACGTCACGACTGCCTCGGCCTCCCCAGGTGCAGCAGGAGGCCCCTGTGGGCACTGCTGAGAGACAGCCCAGCCTGTAGCCTGTTCTCAAACACCTGGGCAGTGCTGCCCGAGGCAGACCCTGGCAGAGGAGGGGTCTGTCACTAGCCAGGGCACTCAGCCACGCCCACAGGCCAGCCTGCCCACCTTGAGCAGCATGCGGCACTGCTTGGGGAAAGTCAGGAAGTAGGGCATGGAGCTGCTGATGTGCTGCAGGAGGGCCGCCGCCACCGTCGCCTCTGCCACGCAGGCCACCAGCTGGGGAGCAAGAGAGGTCAGTGCCAAGCCCACTCACGTCGAGGAACAGAGAAGAACCGGACCACTGCGCGCGGCCAGGCCCTGATGACCCAGCAGCCCTCTCCCAGCAAAACCGCACCTGTATGACTGAGCTCAGGTGAGTCTTGACATCCAGCCGGAGCTTCCCCCAAAGCGGGCTGCTGGATGGCTGCAGCAACCTGCAGAGACCACACCCGTCCACCCACGTGAGACCAGAAGTTCAGACACCCCAGCTCACACACGGGTAAGCCCTGGGCCACATTCTGTCCACACACAGGCTCGTGGGCCCTGTGGGGAGACCCTCTCAAAAGTGGCCCAGATCAATGCCTGAGGAGGGGCAGCCCCCAGCTGACCAGAGGGCTGACAGCCACTGTGCCCCATGTCTGAGCCCACAGCCACCACTCCCCCAGTCTCCAGAAGGCACCCATACCTGCGGCAAGCATACAGGGCCCTAAGGTCTAACCCAGGCATCACCAACCACAACTACACCAGGCTTTCTGTGGCCCAAACAAGCTTTAAAATAAACCAAAGTCCCCATGTCTACAACTCAGCTTCACCAAAAACCCAGACTCTGACCTTTTTCGAAAAATGCAAAGGCCTGGCGATGCCAATTACCACCTCTGGCAGTTTCTCACAGGCATCGCCCCTCAGCATGCACAGAACTCAGCACACAGTAGGTGCTCATTAAAATCTGGTGAGCCCGGCCGGTGTGGCCCAGTGGTTGAGCGTCGACCCTGCACCAAGAGGTCGCCAGTTCGATTCCCAGTCAGAGCACATGCCCAGGTTGTGGGCCCGATCCCCAGTGGGGAGCATGCAGGAGATGGCCAATAAATGTTCTCTCTCATTCATCTATGTTTCTCTCTCTCTCTCCCTCCCTTCTTCTCTAAAACCAATATAGAAAACTAAAAAACAAAACAAAACAAAAAAAACAAAACAAAAAACCTGCTGGCATGCACAAAGGGGCAAAGGCCGGCACCAGTGGAGAGCTCACCTTGACCCAAGAGGCAGCATCTCCATTTCCTCAGTGACGCAGTGCAGCGGCCTCCTTCCGGGAGAATGCAACCAGCGCTGTCGGCTGCCCACGTCCTCACTGCCCTTCTACCCCTGCCCGTCAGCCACCTCCACACGGCCAAACCCTTCAATCCCTCGGTCCAACCTCACCGACACCACCAGGCCCAGGTGATGACAGAGGACCCTCTCTGGACACTTCCTTCTTCCTTTAAGAGGCATCTGGGGTGAGTCTGACCCTCCAAGGCTCTTTCTGCCTCCAACCCAAGTGGTCGAGTAGCGTAAGCCCTGTTCTACCAACATATGCTGCCCTCCTCCCTCCTCTGAAGACAGCTTCTCTCCCCGATCTACCTCTAACACGGAAGGTCAAGTTCTCAAACCCAGCACTGACCAGGCCCCCGCCTGGAGACACACCCAGCAACCAAAGTAAAAGGGAAGGAGAGTAGACGACACTAATTTATCACAAAGAGGAAAAACGGGGAGGGGGGGGGGAGAGAAAGAGAGAGAGAGAGAGAGAGAGAGAGAGAGAGAATATGAGAATCCTAACCCAAAAAAACAGGGAAACAAAGTAAAGCGCAGAGTTTGCGGTCACTGAAGAAAGCTAGGCAGAGAATTTCCTTTCTCAGAGGAAACAAAAAATGGATGGGGCCACCCCAACTGGCCTTGAGAACCCAGCCACTCCCAAGAGCCCCAGAAAGAGCCTGGCTCTGCCCCCAACATCCCTCTGTGCCAGCTAGGTCTGGAGGGAACTGCTAAGTCACAAGGCCTCTGCCTTTACCACTGCAGGGCCCTGAACAGCCCACCCCACCCCCACCTCTCACCTGCTGCTGTCCTTTGGGGTTTTTCCAAACAGCAGCTTCTGGAGACAGCCAAAGAGGTCTCTGATGCAAAAGGTGACCAGAGCGTTGAACACTGCAACGAGGGGACCACAGATGACACTCACAGGACAGCAGATAGAACAGAGCCCATATCCCAGGTTCCCTGGCCCCAGCTCACCAGAACTGTCTGTGACCTGGAATTTGCTGGCCTCAGCACCCTCCTGGTCTCCTTGGGTGATGGTCACAGCTGCTCGGAATGCCTGCACGACTTCGTGGAACAGCCTTGGAGTGAGGTGCTGCTGAAGGGGCGACAGAACCCAGAACACTGAGGGGGCCGTCGGCTGTGCTGGGCTGAGGGAGAGGTAGCCGGGGTCCCAGACCCCGCCCTGGGAGACAAAGGCACCTCTCGCCCTCATTCTCAGACACAAGGCAGAAATGGAACAGTGTCACTGAGCCACACGCCAAAAATAAAAAGACAGAGTCCAGAATCCTCCTGGGTGGGCAAGGAGCCCAGCTCAGGGACCACAGGGGAGGGGCTGAGGGTCCCGGATCTGGACGACTGCCAACAGTGAGTAGCTTCTGGAGCTCTCCCCTCTGTCTCCTCCTTTCCCTACAGAAACCGTGGCAACACCCTCGGAAGAAGATGCCTGGCTCGACCAACCAGCAAAGGGACAGAGACCTTATCCTGCCCACAAGAAAATTCAGAGAACGAGGAACTGGAGAGAGAAACTGAGAGCGAAGGAGCAGGCAGAGCCCCTAGGACCTCTGACTGAAGGAGAGGACGCAGTCCCGGAGTCTCTTAGCATGAGGGAGAACTGTCCCGGGTTCCCATGCAGGGCACTGCTCACAGAAGCGGCCTCCCATCTGCCTAGCCCAGGTAGCTGGAAGGAGCAGGGCAGACTCCTAAAGGGGCAGGGTGGGCAGCAGCTCCTCCATGCTACTTCTCACCTGTGCTGCCTGCTTCCATCTCTCAACCATGGCGAGGGTCACAGGGGTGCAACCCCTCTTCTTCCCCTTCGGTCCTCTAGAGGCCCCATCCTTGTCCTCCTCGCCTTCCTCCTCACTTGCTTCCTGCACCAGACACAGAGGGCCAGGCTAGAGCAGGACAGGGTGGCCCGAGTGTGGCCCTGTCCCTGCCCGGCTCTGTCCAGGCCTCACTTCCAGCACGTCTGGCAGGGAGTGGAGCTGCTCCTCTTCATCCTCAGAGCTGTCCGAGTCGCTGAAGTTCAGCAGGCTCTGGTCGTTCTCCTGCAGGAACTTGTAGAACTCAGGGTCTTTGTCCTTCAGCCGAGAAAGCTGGTCCTTGTGCTCAGATGCACGCCCTTTACGTCGGCTGGGAAGGTGGGGGTCAGTCATCAAGTCAGATGGACAAGCAGAGCCACAGTGGGGGCGGGGGGGGGCATAAGGCTTCCTGTCCTCCATACTGCCAGCTTGGTGGCCTTCTCTGGGAAGACTGGGGCTTAACCTGCTCGCCCCACAACAGCTACCCACAACTAAGGCAGGGTTTCCAGTGGGTACGTTTTCAGCAGATGCCCAGACTTACATATCCCACAGCCTCACCGTACCTGTTTCAGCACATGCACCCCAAATCCAACATGCACAACACTGAACTTGGGGTTCCTCCAAACTTGCTCTGCCAACACCCTCCTCTACCTCACTGGTTAGTAGCACTACTTTTTCAGGTGCTCAAATACTAAGCAAACCTGTCTCTCTCCTAATCCACCGCGTCACCTGTTAGGAGATCTCACCAGCTATCTTCAAAACCCCTCCTGCCTCCTCTCAAAACCAGGACCATCTCTCAGTTACCAGAATGGTCCCTCCCGGTCCCCGTTCCTGCGCCTACAGCCTACTCTTAACACGCACCCCAAGTGACCCTCGCTGTTGTCACGTGCCATTTCTCCACACACTGCACACAACCCTGAGATGGCTCCCCACGTTCCTGGGACACCTTACCAACGGCCCCATCACCTCCCCAGGCCCAGCCCCTCCTACTCCAGCCCGTCCTGCACCCCGAAGGAGCGGCAGCTCCCCTGCCGCCCACACAGCTCGCGGCCTCGGGTCTCCGCTCAGTGACACCTCTTCCAACGACCTTCCCCACGCAGCACAGCACGTGTCGCGGCTCCGCTCCCGGCTCCTCCTGCCCGCGCACTGCCTCCCACGGCGCCCGCACTTCCTGGCGCGCCCAGGACCGGGGCCTCCCGCACCCACGTGCGCCTCCCGAAGCCGGCTCGGCCCCTCAGCAACGACCAGAGACCGAACAAGCTCGGGGGTCCGGGCTCGACGGTCCCTGGGCCGCGGTCCCGAGGCCCCGGAGGGGTCCGCCTCCCGGCGGAGAGCGGCCGGGCCGGAGACGGGGACGGGGTTGGCTCCCACGCCGCGGACACGCTGCGCTCACCTGGCCGAGGGGCTGCCGTCGGGCCCTTCCGGGATCCGGGAGGCTCCGCGCGCCGCCCGCGCCTCGGCTCCCGCGGCTCCTTCGGGCTCCGACTCCGACTCGGAATCAAAGCCCGAGGCCAGGAACTCGTCCACCGTCAGCTCCGCCAGGCGCCTGCGGGTCCCGACAGGGGAGTCAGGACGGCCCGCCAGCCCGGGGGCCCCGCTGCCCGGGAGCCCGGGGGCGCGAGGGGAGCCCTCGGACACAGGCCCGCGGGGAGGCCTGAGCCGCCCCCAGACCCCACTCACCGCTTACGGCTCCGCGCCGCCGCCATGACCGCCCGCTGCAGCGCGAGCCCACTTCCGGCCCCAGAATGCCGCGCGCCAGCCGCGCTTCCGCCGGCCGGCCCCGCCCCGCCCCGCCCCGCCGCGCCGGCTCTGCGGTTCTCCGGCCGCGGTGCCGGCGGCGTGCGAGCGGGAGGGTGCGTTCACCGCCTCCGCGCTGCGGGCGCGCCCGGGCTCCTGGCCAGGCCACGGGCGGGGTCACGGCTCCCGCTCGCGTCCGCTCGTCGCCGGTGTGCTCGCACCTGAGGGTCCGGGGCCCGGGGCCCACAGCCTCGCTGGGCTCCGCAACCACGTGCCAGCGAGGGTGTCAGTGCGTCCCCAGCGCACAGAGCGCATCCACACGGGGCTCCCGCAGACCGCTCACAGATCAGTGATGAAAAGCCAACACGCTGGGGGCGGGGGGGACAGAGGAAAACAGAAACGGTGCTGCTGCGTACGTGGGCAGTTCGCCGCAAGACAGACGACAGCTGTTGGCCAGGCCGGCCTCGCCCTGCTCAGGGGAGGACCAGAGCCACGCGGGCATCTCCGTTTCACTGGACAGCTCCCCGGTCCCTGTGGTGGGGAAGGGGTGAGGGGAGGCGCTGGTATTGAAGCCGGTGTGGCCAAAGCTACCCGAGAGCACTATGCCTGCTGGCCCCGCGCCCGGCCTCTGCTGGGAATTCACCTGTGCACACAGCTGCCTAAGCTCACCGCACCGGGCTCGGCCACTCCCCCGTGCTGTCCGTGTGCAGGTGCAAAGGCCCGAGGCTGGAAGGTCGCCTGGGGAAGAAAGGCCTGGGCCCCCCTTCCCGCCCCCACCGCCTCGGGGTGAGGGTATGCGGGGTGGAGGGCCAGACCCCACCACAGCGGACCCCACAGCCCCTGGGGCGCGGGCGAGGCTCTGGTCAGACCCCTCGGGCCAGCGCCCCGCTCCACCCACCCTCATCCCGCAGCCAGCGCTCAGCTCCAGGGCTGGTACTTGCAGGGGTGGGGTAGGGTGGGGGGCTTCTTGAATGAGTTGGGGAGGGGGCGGCAGGTCTAGGAAACGTCTTGGAGATAAGGGCAGGCGGGGCCCGCGGGCTTCCTGGAGGAGGAGGAGGAGGGCGTGGCGCCGGGACTTTGAGAGGAGTCGCGTCCTACGTTGCGTGCCCGAGCCACGGGGGACTGCGGGAGGCGGGGCGGGCGGCGCCGAGAAACAACGGCTGCAGCAAGCGGCGGGAGCCAGGGACGCCGAGCGGTCCGCCGCCGCCGAGCAGCCCTCCAGCGGCCCGTGCGCCCGTTAGTCGGGGCGTCCTCCGCGAGTCGGCAGGTCCGGTGGCCGAGCCCATGCAGCCGCGCAGTGAGCGCCCGGCCGGCAGGACGCAAAGTCCGGAGCACGGCAGCCCGGGGCCGGGCCCCGAGGCTCCGCCGCCGCCGCCGCCGCCGCCGCAGCCGGCGTGAGTGTGCCGAGGGCTGGGGGCCGCGAGTCGGCCGGGGGCTGAGTGGGTCCGGAAAGGAGGGCGGGAGGGAGGGAGGGGCGCGCGCCGACCCCGGCCGGCTGCCCGGAGGGGGCGGCCTCGGCGCCCTGCCGGCTCGGGCCGCCGGGGATGGGTCCAGCCTGCACCCCTCGGTCTATCCGTGCACACAGCGGGCGCGGGACAGGGCGGCCAGCGGTGGCTGCTGCCGGAGGCGGCGTCCCTCCCGCCGCCCTTGAATCCTAGCTGCGCCGCTCACAGACTTGGGCGCCTTGTCTGCGGAATGGGGGCGGGGGGCCGGCGGGGCGGGCGGAGCCGCTCCGGAGAGTCGAGTGAGGTCACCCTGCTGGTGGACTTGGGGTCCGCTTCAGAGCTTCCTGACGCCACTGACCAGTTTCACTCTGTGCACTTCCTGTGCGCCAGCTGGGGCTGCACTCCGATGGGGGCCCTGCCAGGGTGGCCAGCGATGGACCGAGGAAAGCCTGGTTCTGACGGGGCACCTGGGCAGCATGGAGTATGGTGCCTGAGGAGGGGTGGGCAGAGGAAGCTGTACAGGTTCAGCACTCCGACCTCCTGGGAGAAGGTGGGAGGCTCCTGGAAGTGAGTGAGCAGAGTGGGTTGAGCCTAGGCCACAGGGGAGGTCCTCTCTGGATGCCAGTTATGGACCCTGGGGGGAGGAGTGGCCTCCTGGGTGCCCTGGCACCCTGACCTGGCACTGTCCGTCTGCAGCCCCGAGGCCGAACGTGCACGGACACGGCAGGCCCGGCCCACAGCCCCCATGGAGGGTGCCATGCAGCTGCTGACCCGTGAGGGCCATACTGTGTCCCACAACTCCAAGCGGCACTACCACGATGCCTTCGTGGCCATGAGCCGCATGCGGCAGCGTGGCCTCCTGTGTGACATCGTTTTGCACGTGGCCGCCAAGGAGATCCGAGCACACAAGGTGGTGCTGGCCTCCTGCAGCCCCTACTTCCACGCCATGTTCACAAGCAAGTACCACCCCACCCAGTGGGCCCTGGGGGTCTCCACGGGTCTCCCCAGGTGGGACTGGCCTGACCCACTGTCCCCACAGATGAGATGAGCGAGAGCCGCCAGACCCACGTGACGTTGCATGACATCGACCCTCAGGCCTTGGACCAGCTGGTGCAGTTTGCGTACACGGCTGAGATCGTGGTGGGCGAAGGCAACGTGCAGGTGAGGCTGCTTCAGCGCCCCTCCTGTGCCCACCTGTCTCCTGCCTCGGCGCTCCTCTCACCAGTCTCTCTGTGCCTGCTCCCCCGGCCCTCTCCCATCTCACCCACAGACTCTGCTCCCAGCTGCCAGCCTGCTGCAGCTGAACGGTGTCCGTGACGCCTGCTGCAAGTTCCTGCTGAGTCAGCTTGACCCTTCCAACTGCCTGGGCATCCGGGGCTTCGCCGACACACACTCGTGCAGTGACTTGCTCAAGGCGGCGCACAGGTACGTGCTGCAGCACTTCGTGGACGTGGCCAAGACGGAGGAGTTCATGCTGTTGCCGCTGAAGCAGGTAACGTGCCAGCCAGGGCGCTGCCTGGACCGTGACCCAGTCCCTGGACCCCTTGACCCCCATCATTTCAGCTCTCAAGACCTGGGCATCTGTCCCCCCAGCCCTTATTTGGAGTCTCTGACCCATGTTCCAGCCCCACCACCTGTCCCCTGCCCCCTCCTTGCCCCCATTCCTGACCCCACCCAAACCTTTTCTTAGCTTCCTGAGCACATCTCTGCCTATAACCCCAGTCCCTGGTTCCAGTCCCCAGGATTGCTCTGGGCCTGGGCCCCCAGGAACCAAATCTTCGGCTCCTGACCCTGCTTGGCCCCTTCTCATAGGAACACTGGGCCCCCGTTTGACTCTCCCTCTCAGGCACCTTCAGGGCTCCGTGGGCTCCCAAGACCCTCCCCAGATTTCAGGTCTGAGGGTCCCTACCCCCAGGTGCTGGAACTGGTCTCTAGTGACAGCCTGAACGTGCCTTCAGAGGAAGACGTCTACCGTGCCGTCCTGAGCTGGGTCAAGCATGACGTGGATGCTCGGAGGCAGCACGTCCCACGGGTGAGGCAGCCCCTGGGGCCCCCGTGTCTGTGAGGGGGTGCGATGTCTGAGGGGATATGCACCCGGGCTCCTCCGTGCCCTGAGTACCGCAGGGGTGATGCAGGCATGTCTTAAGAAGCATCCGGCACACAGGTGGACAGGGGTCTGGGGGTGGGTCTCACTGCGGGGATGAAGTGTCTGTGGGTTCCACCTGCTGCCTGATTACGGCGTCCCTGCACCCCAGCTGATGAAGTGTGTGCGTCTGCCCCTGCTGAGCCGGGACTTCCTGCTGGGCCACGTGGACGCCGAGAGCCTGGTGAGGCACCATCCTGACTGCAAGGACCTGCTCATCGAGGCCCTCAAGTTCCACCTGCTGCCAGAGCAGAGAGGCGTCCTGGGCACGAGCCGCACACGGCCCCGACGCTGTGAGGGTGCCGGCCCTGTGCTCTTCGCTGTGGGTATGCCCACACCTTCTGGGCCCCCACGTCCCTTCCCTCTCTCTCCACATCTGTCTTGCGTCTTCCACCCGTAAGCCCAGTCCTCTCCATCTGTGCTGGTCACACCCTGCACCCACCCCATGCCTGCTCCTCCGCCTGCCTGTGGAGCACCTGTGTGGTGTGACCCACTCACAGATCCCCATCCCCACCCTTGGAGCCCCCATCCTCTCCACCTTGAGCTGGGCCAGAGCCCCCAGCCCATTGCCTCCCTGGGCCCCTGGTCCTGCCCCATCACCTCCCCCTCCCTAGGTGGCGGGAGCCTGTTTGCGATCCATGGGGACTGTGAAGCCTATGACACACGCACTGACCGCTGGCATGTGGTGGCCTCCATGTCCACACGCCGAGCCCGCGTGGGCGTGGCAGCAGTGGGGAACCGGTTGTATGCAGTGGGTGGGTAAGTCTGGAGGCTGCTCTCGGGTGGGGCTCAGGGCGTGCCCACTGGGCAGCCCGGCCGACAGTGGACCCCTCTCCTAGTTATGATGGGACTTCAGATCTGGCCACCGTAGAATCGTACGACCCTGTGACCAACACCTGGCAGCCTGAGGTGTCCATGGGCACGAGGCGCAGCTGCCTGGGGGTGGCTGCCCTGCACGGACTCCTGTACGCGGCCGGGGGCTATGACGGGGCTTCCTGCCTCAACAGGTAGGGGTGAGGTCAGGGCAGTGTGGCCTTTGGAGACTGGCTTGGCAGCTGGTATGGCTGCATCAGGACTGCAGAGGTCATACCTTGAGGGAAACAAAGAGGGATCCTGCCTCACTCAAGTCCCTTAGGCCTCTTCATCTGTGCCAGTCCACCTGCCCCTTCTGTTCCTCTCTGGGCTCCTTCCCACCGGTCCAGGGGCTGGGGCCAGGTGGACACCTGCACAGGGTCACCAGGCAGCCAGAGGCCTGTGCGCACCCCGCAGGCCTACTTCCTGCTCCAGTGGGGCTCTGGGGGAGGGCAGGTCCTGGTCAGCCGTTGCTCAAGGTCACTGGTGGTCCTGTTGTCCACAGTGCCGAGCGCTATGACCCCCTGACAGGAACGTGGACGTCCATCGCTGCCATGAGCACCCGCAGGCGATACGTTCGTGTTGCTATGCTTGGTGGGTAACAGCTTGCTTGCTGTAGTGCCCACCCTGCAGACCCCACGCACAGCAGGCACACCACGGGCATGTTGACTCCCTGCAGATGGCAACCTGTACGCGGTGGGCGGTTATGACAGCTCATCACACCTGGCCACTGTGGAGAAGTATGAGCCCCAGGTGCGAAACACCCCAATCACAGGTGTTCCCCTTCCCAAGGGCTGCCTGAGGTCATCACTCTGGCCACCCACATTCCCTGGAGTGGCAGGCCTTTAGATCCATCTCCCCCTCCCCCCACATCCTACAGACACCCACCCCGGAGTGGGGGGTCTCCGCTGTGGAGGTGGAGGGAGGCTGGTGGTGGGTCTGCCCCCAGCGGGTCCCCTCGACCACAGGTGAACACGTGGACGCCAGTGGCCTCCATGCTGAGCCGGCGCAGCTCGGCTGGCGTGGCAGTGCTGGAGGGGGCTCTCTACGTGGCTGGCGGTAATGATGGCACCAGCTGCCTCAACTCTGTGGAGAGATACAGCCCCAAGGCCGGTGCCTGGGAGAGTGTGGCGCCCATGAACATCAGAAGGTGTGCTGTGCTCCAGTCCCCGGGCTGGCAGTGCCCCTTGTCACCGCCACAGCATGTTCCCCTCAGAGCCTGACTGATGGGTTTCACCCTGCGTGGCATGCCAGTGCCCCTCCTGCCTCCAGACTCCCCTCGGGGACTCTTTCCCACCCCCTCCGCTCCCGGAGGCTCCACCCCCTATGTTCCTCCCAAGGCCTCTGGCCCCGCCCACAGAGGCTTCTCCCAAGGCCTGGGGCCCCGCCCCCGCAGGATTCTCCCTGGCCTGTGGCCCCTCCGTACTTTCTCACACCTGCCTGTCCTGCCCCCAGGAGCACCCACGACCTGGTGGCCATGGACGGATGGCTGTATGCCGTGGGGGGCAACGATGGCAGCTCCAGCCTCAACTCCATCGAGAAGTACAACCCGAGGACCAACAAGTGGGTGGCTGCGTCCTGCATGTTCACGCGGCGCAGCAGTGTGGGCGTGGCGGTGCTGGAGCTGCTCAACTTCCCGCCGCCGTCCTCGCCCACACTGTCCGTGTCGTCCACCAGCCTCTGACCCGCGGCGGGACTGCACAGAGGCTCGGCCGCAGCCGCCCACATGCCTTAAGTCCCACCGGGGGCCCCAGCGCCTCCCTCCCCTCGACCGTGCTTCGGAGTTGGGCTCCGCGGCGCCCACCAGGGACGTCCTGCACCGTCTGTCCACGTTCTGTCCATTCCTCAGTGTTCGTTTACGTGTGTGCCGTTGATTTACTCGTCCGTTTATTTATTCAGTATTTATTGACAATGAGCAGTGCTGCAGCTACCAGTCTACATTTGCTCTGAAAGTGTCCTGTGTCCTTGGGACCCAGCTGCCATCCCCGGGGTCCTCCCGCCCTGCTGGGGCACCAGGCGGTGATGGGGGTGGACACTCATGGGAGTGTGGGTCAGGGAAACTCAGACTCTGCACACCCGGAGGGACCAAGGTGTAGGTGCAGAGCAGCGGGCCACGGTGGGCGGGGCCGGCCTTCTGAGCAGGTGCAGACCCCCGGCCTTCACTTTGCACATGGCCCTTGCCTCCCGAGGCAAGGCACACTCCCAGGGAGGGCGTGAAGGGGCTTTCTGGACCCTGCCCTGAGCTGGGCACACACGTGCGCACCCCTCACAGCAATAGGAGCCCGAACAATAAACATGTCCTTGGGCTCTGCACCTGAGTCCCAACGTGCATCTCTGCCTTTTGGGGCCGGTCTGGGGGTGAGTATGCAGCTGGGCCGAGGTACAGCGTTGGCATCTGGGGCCTTTGAGGCAGCACCATCAGGTCCTGCAGGGACAGTCCTGGGACATCCTGTCAGCCTGGTCCTGAGAGACCCCATGGCCCCTCCCCAGGCTCACCATGCTGTCCCGCACCCTCCTGGGAGGGTTGTGGCCTCCTTCCTGGATTCTGGTTAAGCCTGTGGGACCCTGACCTTGGCCCAGAGCGAGGGGTGGGCACAGGCGAGAGGAGGATGGGGGTGGGGGGCGGTCCTGGCTTCCCCTTCCCCCTCAAACTTCTGCTTTGAGAAGGAACACACCCACTCACAGTCACTGGTGACTCAGGTTGGCGTTGAGGTGGAAACAGGATGTGGGCTCACGGGAGCCTCAGAGGGGGTCCCTGGACTCTCCGAACTCTAGCCCCTCACACCCCAGCCCAAGTTCAGGCAGGCTACGCATTCAGGGGCCAGGCCTTCGAGGCCCCTCCTGTGCAGACTGGAGGTTGAGATGGGGGCTCTTAGCTGGGCCAGGGGAGCCTCCCCCAACACCCCACTCCCACCCCGCTGGCCTGCTGGTGCGGAGGACCCCAGGCAGGAATTGGAATGAAAGGCTCGGCCCAAGTAGGGGCTGGGCCCTCCCAGGGAGGCTCCACCCTCGCACCTCGCTTGGGCACAACGTAGCACAGCCCCGCCCCTGGGAGGTGGGGGCAGGAGGGTTGGAACCTGGGGACCCAGAGCCGTCCACCTGCTCGCTGGGGCCAGCCGCCGTCGCCGCTGCCCATGGGGAACAGCCACTGCGTCCCTCAGGCTTCCAGGAGGCTCCGGGCCTCCTTCTCCAGGAAGCCCTCGCTGAAGGGAACTAGGTGAGGGGCGCGGCCGCGCTGGGTCCCAGGGTCGCCCTCACCTGCCTGGGGTCAGGCTGCGAGCCGCTCTTCCTTTGTCCCCAGAGAGGATGGCAGGAGGAAGCTGGCCGGCCTGTTTGGCTCGGAGGCCAGCCCCGACGGGGACACCACGGCCGACAAGATATTCTACTACATCCCGGGGACGGTGAGCGGCGGTGGGCGTGTCCCGGCGCGGCCGGCGCCCAGGGGTGCGGTGGCGGTGGGCTGCGCGGGCTCCGGGGCTCCGGGTCAGCCGGGGGGCGTCGGATCCAGAGCTGGGCGAGGAGGTGGGACAACCCCGCCCTCGAGGCTCCTCTGGCCGAAAGTCTGAGCCGAGAGCGAAACTGGGACGGACTCTGAGTCAGTGGGTGAGCGCACCAGCCAGGCGGCGGTGGGCGGGGCCTCCGAGGGCAGCAGGACCGGCCCCGGTGTGTGCCCGCCCGGCCCGGCGCGGACGGCGTGTCCGGGCGCACTGCGGCTGGACCAGGCACACGGATCTCTGAGTTGTGGGGGGGTTGGATGTTGTGTTCCCAGGGTGGATGTCAGTCCCACCCCAGGCCCCCTTCACGCGGAGTAAGGGGCTTCTGTGAACAGCGAGCCAGCCTCGCACCTGTTCCAGGCCTCAGTTTCCTCCAAGGTGCGTCCCAGCGTCCACCACTGCCTCCTCCCATACGTAGATCCCGGCCCCCCCCCCCTCACAGCAAGGACTGACCACCAAGTGGAGCTGAAAACCACTCCCTCCCCCTGCCCAGCTCCTACAGAAGTAAAAGTTAGCGAAGGGGGAGAGACACTCAGCTTCCCAGACCACTGGCATCAGCCCCAGGATGTGGGGGAAATTACCCCCGAGTTCTTATTCCAGGAGCATCTAGGAGGGGTGCAGGAGGGACAGGTGTGGGTGACTGTGCCGGGGGCTGGGGCCAGGCTCGCCCTGCACTCCTCAGTCCTCACGCTGGTGTGGGCTTCCAGCACCCACCTTTCCAGGTGTTCCCCTCAAGCTGGGAAGCCTCTGCCTGGCCCCTCTGAGGTCCTGGGGCTCCCTGTGGGCAAATACTGGCTCCAGAAACTGTGCTCTCAGAGGAAGGGGGTCCTTCTGTGTGGCCATTTCGGACCTCAGCTCCCACTGTTCGGGTCCAGGACACATCAGGGGACCTGGAAGAGTCCCTGGGGCAGCCGTCCTCTCTGGCCAGGACTGGCAGTGGCTGGAGAGGGGACCAGGCATGTTGTACCTGGGGAAATCGGGCCTGGGAGAAGCCAGCTCTTTTTGGGTCCTGCCCATGGCGGCACTGAACTGACTCCTCCTTGGACCCTAAGGCTGAGCCCAGGCCACGGGGCCAGTTTCGCAGCCCGTCCTGCTCTGTGGCCTATTTTTCATGGTCCCATCCCAGCGTCATTCCCCGAACTGGGTGTGGGTGCGGGAGGCCCCACCCAGAGGCAGGGAGGCCGGGAAGCTGCAGGTCTGTCTGTGTACATTCCTGGGCTTGTCTCAGGGACAGCTCAGCGCGCAGGGCTCAGCAGCCGGCAGGCAGCCCCTGCCAGGTCCCAGAGGGAGCGCGGCCCCTCCACAGCTCCCCTTCAGCTGCAGGTCGGCTCCCAGCCCTGTCCGACACCCAATCCAATGACCAAGTACCCGTTTGTAGAGGCCTTTCTGTGTCCCAGAACTGGCTGTATGCGGGCACCAGCAGGCAGGCATCGAACCCCAGCACTCCCAGACCTATCCTGGCCCCCACAGGGCCACAGTGGGCAGAACAGACAAGTCTGTGCTCATGGTGTTTCCATCCCTGTGACACAGAGCCAGGTGACCAGACAAATGAGCAGAAGATACAATGAGTAAGATGTGGTTAGAACGAGGTATGCCGAGGGGTCAGGAAGGTTGGGATGCTGGAGGGCACCAGACGGGGCATCACAGAGGAGGGGAGACTGACCCAGGGGGAGGAAACAGCAAGCTCAAAGGCCCTGGGCTGGGCGTGTGTGCTGTGAGGGAAGAGGGGGGTGAGGCAGGTCACAGAGGACCCCTCCGCCAGTGCCTGGCCTCCACTAAGTGACATGGGGATCAGGGGCGTGAGCTTTCTTCCCACCTACACGTTCCCAGACACCACATTGGCTGCTCAAAACGGGCCATGGAGGGCCTGGCAAGTGCTGTAAATCAGACACACACACACACACCCTTTTTTTTTTTTTTTTTATCCTCACCCGAGGACATTTTTTGATATTTTGTTCAGATAGAGTGAGAGAGAGAGAGAGAGAAACATCGACGTGAAAGCGACACATCGAGTGGTTGCCACCCACACGACCCAACCAGGGCCGGGGACAAACTGCAACCAAGGTATATGCCCTTAGCAGGAACCGAACCCGGGTCTCTCCGGACCGCAGGTCGACGCTCTAACCGCTGAGCCAAACCGGCCAGGGCCAGACACCCCCCTTTTGAAGAAGCAGGTATTAAAACATTTCCCAGCTGACAGTGGAGATTCAGGAGGGTTTTGAGTAGTGCCTCATTCAGACACCCAAAACCCTGTGATCAACAAGACTTAGGGGGTTGAGCAACCAGAACAAGGGTACGCAGCCTAAGAGTCTCCTCCGAGTCCAAGCATCACTGTTTCCACTGCTGGACACATGATGCCATGACTCGCAGTGAGGCCTCTGTGTGTGTGTGTGTGTGTGAGTGTGTGTGACTGTGTGTGGTGGTGGAACTCAGGCCCCCTCCCCTGAGCTCTACTCCCCGCAGGACCTACCGGGCCTGGAGAGCCAGCGAGCACACCTGGACCAGCCGTTCCTGAGTGTTTTCAAGAAGGGGCGGCGCAGGGTGCCCGTGAGGAATCTGGGCAAGGTTGTGCACTATGCCAAGGTCCAGCTGAGATTCCAGCACAGCCAGGTGGGGGCCAGGCCTGGTGGGTGCTTGGGGCTCAGTCTGCACCCACGCCCTGGTGCTCAGACGGTCGCCCTGCTCCCCCCAGGATGTCGTCGACTGCTACCTGGAGCTGTTCCCTTCCCACCTCTACTTCCAGGCCCACGGTTCTGAGGGACTCACTTTCCAGGTGAGGGATGTGGGCAGAGGGAGGAGTCTAGGAGGACAGGGAGAAAGCCCCTTGAGAGCCGGTGACGACAGCCCCTGGGGGTCCTCCAGCCCTCCCTTTCGCTGTGCTCTGGCAGGGTCTGTTGCCGCTGATGGAGCTGAGCATCTGTCCACTGGAGGGGTCCAAAGAACATGCCTTCCAAATTACAGGTGCGGGGGCGTGAGCCATCCCAGTCCTAGGAGACCGAGAGGGCTAGGGCTGCTCAGTGACCTTGGCCTCTGGCAGGGCCCAAGAATACTGGCAGGACCCTGAGCAGGTTGAAGCGTCCTGACTTTTCCTCCAATAGGCACACAGCCACGTGCCTGGTGGGCGGGGGCGGGGGGTGTACAGTGGGTCCAGGACAGTGCTATATTCTCCTCCCAACTGTAGCCCTGGGTCTGCGCGTGGCCCTGGGAAGGGGCAGGGGCCGGGGCCTGTCCTGTGGGCTGCTTGCCCAACCCACCCTGCTCCTCGGCCCACAGGCCCGCTGCCTGCCCCCCTTCTGGTGCTCTGCCCCAGCCAAGCCGAGCTGAGCCGCTGGCTCTACCACCTGGACAAGCAGATGGCCCTCGTGGCAGGGCTGCCGTGCCTCCACTCCGCACCCCCGCAGGTCAGTGCCGGGATCCCCACAGCCCTTTCCAAGCCCCCCTGCCTGCCTGCCCTGACCCCCCTTTTCCAGGGCCCCGCTGAGGACGAGCTCTCCTGGAGTCTGCAGCCTAGGCTGACCCACCTGCAGACCACATGGGGGCGCCAAATGGTGGGCAATGCCATCTGCGCCTCGAGGGTCAAGCTGCAGCATCTGCCCTCGCAGGTGGGTGAGGGACGTGGGTGAGGGGCGAGGGAGGGGCAGAGGCAGCAGGTGGGGCCAGCCCTGGGTGCACACCACTGGGGACCACACTCTGCCCTTTGACCCCTGACAGGAGCGCTGGGACCGGGTCCTGGTACTATACCCAACTTCCCTGGCAATTTTCTCTGAGGAGGCCGACGGGCTCTGCTTTAAGGTGGGTCCTTCACACTGTGACCCACCCCAGGGAGGCGCCCTGTGCGTGGGGGGAGGGGGCGGCAGCTCAGGAGGAACCTGTATTTCGGGGCCAGTTGGGACAGAGCATACTGGCCCCACCCACCCAGCCTGCTGCCCTGGTCAGTCTGGTCTCGGTTCTGATGTGGGCACAAGGGCCCTGCCCAGGCACCTGCGTCCTTCTGGAGGATCCTCAGCCACCATCACCTGGGGGTGATCATGGTTTTTCGTTGTGGAGAAACACACATGGGGTCCAGTCCTCTCAGCATCCCTTCCCAGTCTTCGCGCGGTGGAGGGGACCCAGCCCCGCCAGCACCTGTCTGTGTCTGCCCCTGGTTCATGACGGTCCCACCCAGAGCCCAAGGCTGGTGGTGGAGATGCCCCAGGGCAGATGGAGCGTGCCTGGCTCCCTCAGGGCTGTGTGCCTCGCCCTGCCTGGTGGCCCCCTCTCAGGCGGGTGAGGAGAGCTGGGCCCAGGCAGAGCCCCAGGGTGGCCCCAAGATGCAGGCCCCACCTTCCTCTGCTGCCCCCCAGGGGGAGCTCCCGCTCAGTGCCATCCACATCAACCTGGAGGAGAAGGAGAAGCAGATCCGCTCCTTCCTGATCGAAGGTGGGCTGTGGCTGGGCCTGGGTGGGGGGCACGAGCCCACTGGGTGCCAGCCCTCCGTGGGCCGGGCGACACCTCCTGTCTGTGTGCAGGCCGCCTCATCAACACCATCCGGGTGCTGTGTGCCAGCTACGAGGACTACAGCCACTGGCTGCTCTGCCTGCAGACGGTCACCCGCAGGGAGGGGGCACCCCTGCTGCCCCGCCCCGAGAGCTTCCTGGGGCCGCGGGGGCCTGCCCAGGTGAGGGGTCAGCAGGCCCAGGGTGGGCGCCGATGGAAACAGGAGGGGGGGCTGGGCATGGTTGCTGGAGAGAGGGGTTCTGCCATGTGGCTCAGTACCCCCCATCCGCTGCCAGGTCCTGGGTGGTGGCCGAGGCTCACTCTCCTCTGATGGACAGACCAGCTGGGACTCGGGGTACCCGGCACCCCCCTCTACCCGCACCAGCCACTCCCTCCCTGAGTGCTCAGCTGGCTGCCCTGCCCAGCCTGCATCTGTGAGTATCTGGGGGTGTAGGCAGGGGCCATGAGATGAATTTCTGTTGGGGAGCCTAGGTCCCCATGGCACCCCATCCCTCCTGGGGTGCTAGCTCCTCAGGGGAGGGCACTCGAGGGTTGTGTGGGAGAGGGCCCTGGAAACCTTTGGAAGGTCTTGTTCCCCACAGGACCACGCCAACCCTGGCTCCACCAGAATCAGTGGGCAGAAGGCAGAGCTAAGACGGGGCGGCAGCAGCCGGTCACCCGGGAGCAGGGCCCGGGCCGAGGGGCCCGGCCCAGCCACCCCACTGCACCTGGACTTGACCAAGGTGGGCCCAGACACTGACCCCAGCTCCGAGCCCGGCTCTCCCTGCCCTCCACCACCCTGGACTCTGTCTCTCAGGCCCAGAAGGTCCTGGAGCCCCCTGGAAGCCTCAGGTGTGCCCTCCAGGAAGTTTCTCTCTTCACCTCTTGCCTGCAGCTGACCCAGCTGAGCCAGGAGGGTGGTCCAGAGGCCCCAGACCACTCACTGGAGACACCTCACTCCCCTCTGTATGCTGACCCCTACACACCACCTGCCACCTCCCACCACAGAATCAGAGATGTCCGGGGCCTGGACGAGGTGAGTGCCGGGGACAGGAAGGGCTGGACGTGCCCACAGCCCGCTGTCGGGAGTCAGGTCTAGACTGTGCTCCTCCCCCGGGGTCTGGGGTTGCCGCAGCCTGAGGTTGAGGAAGCCTGAGGTCTGCTTGGGCCACGAGAGGCTCAGGGGGTTTGTGGGCAGGAGGCCCCAGCCCAGGGCCTCGAGTCACTGACGCTCCTTGGCAGTTCCTCACGGCAATGAAGAGCTCACCTGGACCCGAGCCCTCGAGCCCGTTCCCCTCCGTGCCTGTGTCTGTGCCCATCTCCAACCCCAGCTCTGGAGTGTCCAGCCCCCACTGTCTCTCCAGGAAGGGAGCCCCGCAGGCCCGAGCCTCTCAGCGGCACCGGGGCTCCCTCAAGGGCCGCGGGCCCCGGCCCCCAGACTCTCCTCAGCGCGTGAGTAGCAGCCCCACCCTGGGCGAAGGGTTCCGTGGGGACCTTGAGGGAGCAGGAGAGACAGAAATGGGGCAATGGGGCACCAAGGACGGGAGCCGGGGCAGTTCGTGCTGGTGCCCAAGCCCCTCCCCAGGCTCGGCTCTCACTCCTGTTTGGGGTCTGCAGGTCTGCCCTTCCAGGGAAGTTTCTCCCGACCCCCGGCTGCATCCCCCAGGTGAGTGAGAGACCCTCCCGCTTTCTGAGGGGCGCTGTGGGTGTGCTTCCTGAAGACACACGCACCTCTGCCCCTCCCACCAGACGGCGAAGCCCCCAGGAGGTATGACAACATCTGGGACAAGGCTCCGGCTCCCTCCCGCCAGCGCCAGCGGCCCCGGGAAGCGGCCGAGGCTGAGGAGGGGCTCGCCCAGTGGATCTGAGGGCCAGGGCAGGCTGCTTCTCAGGACCACCTGCCAGCGTCAACCCTGGGGGGTCTCAACCCTGGGGGTTCTCCAGCAAGGCCTGGATCCTTCTATGTGGGGCCACTGGCTGGCCACTCCCACCCAATACCCAGTCAGGGAGTGGAGGGGGGTCTCCAGAACCCTGCGTTTTCTGTGCTCTGGAGGGACCAGGAGGACGGCCTCGGCCTGAGGACGCTCCAGCCAGCGCCTGGACCACAGATCAGGGTGCGGCACCCAGATGGAGGAGTTGGCCTGCCCCCGGGGGAGTGAGGGAGGGGCTTGCTGGGGCTTCACCTGGGAGTGAGAACAGAGCAGGGATGAAGGTGAAGGTCAGAGGGCTGAGAAAGTTCCACTATCGAGGGTCAGAGTATGGGAGGTCAGAGGTCATGAGGTCAGAGGTCAGCGAGGCCAGAGGTAGGGCGGTTGCCCATGCGCATGCGAGTGGAGTGGTGTTGCTCGGGAGAAATGGACAAGAGACTAAACAAGAAAGAAGAGAAGGAGATTTTATTTGTCTGTGTCCACACATTCTTCCCTCGGCGGCCGGGAGGCCCCTGCTGCCCAGGGCCTGAGCGGGGCCTCCAGCTGGATGCTCTCCCAACACGTAGCTGGGCCACCTTCCTGCCCTCCCTCTGGCTCCTCAGCCCCGGGACAGTCCCAAGTGCTCATCCCTCCACCTGACACCATGGAACGCCACTGTGCACTTCGTCCAGGGCTCCCCCAAGGAGGGCCCCGGCTCTGCCCTGCAGACCCCTACCCTGCAGGGACGCCTGTGGTCACCTTCCTACGACCCTCTAGCACCTGCTCACTGTCTCAGGCAGGAGCCAAGGAGGCTCAGGTTCAGGCTCCGAGACCTGCCCCCAGCCCACTGGAGAGCAGGCAGTGACCTGGACCCCAGCCCCCTGGCCCCTGCCTCCTGCCCAGCCCTCCAGGGGGGCCATGCTGCTGCTCTGACGCCCCCTAGTGTCCAGGGCTCCTACTGCCGCTCACCCTCTAACTAGGTAACCAGGCAAAATGCAAACATCCCGTTACATTTGATTTCAGATAAAGCACAAATGACCTCCTAGTATAAGCACATCTCAAATATCGCCTGCTGTCTGAAATCCGTTCTACTGCCCACCGTTTTCATTTGCCAGTCTGGCTGCCTTCCTAAGAAACTCCCTGCTCAGCCCCAGCCGTCCAACCTTCCAAATCTCCCCTCAGGCGTGGAGCACAGCCCGACTTCGGCCACTGGCCTGAGCCTCGGGCAGAGTCCAAGAAAGCCCCGGCTGAGGACAATGGCTCCTTCCTGGACGCTGGTGTGGAACACAAGGGTCAAAGGGAAAGGCCAGGGGACCGCGCCTCGCCCTGCATCTCCGTGGGCAACCCTGGGTCCTAGGAGCTGGGGCCGGGGCTGGGGCTGGGGCTGGGGCTGGGGCTGCGGCGCTCCCGCCACACCTGCCGTCGGAAGTAGCGGATGGCGGAGATGGTACCGATGTTCGCCAGCAAGACTGCAAGGGAAGCAAGAGGCTGCCTGAGTGCCGGCTGCCCGGCCTGGCCCTCGGAGGAGGCCAGCGGGAGGGTGGTGGGCCAGCAATAGGAAGAGCACGGTCAGGGGAGAAATCTGTGCCTCCCCAAGCACCCTCGTCCCTGCTGGCCCAGCGGGGAGACTTCTGGGAACCAGCCCCACTTCCCCAGGGCCCCCAAACCTGTCTTCCAGGCGTCTGGGGCGTGCAGATCCGATGTCCTCACAGCCCAGGTGGCAAAGGCTACAAACACCAGGCACATGTCATTCTGGCTGAAGGTGAAGGGGGTGAGGGGACCTCGGAGCTCCCCTAGGAGAGAAAAGCGTATTTCAGCTCCAGCTGCTCCCTCAGACGTGTGCCCTGGACACATCGGGAGTGTGTCTGTGTGGAGAACACACTCCCCGAGTCACACCTGCCCGTGACACAGGCCCCGTGCGGCACAGCCGAGTCAGGCCGGGGGCCAGCTGCCTCTGGGACACTGATCCCCGGTTTCTAAGACGTCTTTCAGGAGGCCTGTGAGACGGAGCCCAGGGTGTCCGCAGCCCCGGTGCCGGCCCTGTCACAGGCCGGGGGCGGGGCTCCGGTGCCATCTGGGTCTGAGCTCAGGGTGGCAGTCAGGGCACAGCCAAACCCTCGAATGACCTGGCCTGGGCTGCCCCATCTGGACCGTGTCCTGGGATGGCCAGGAACTGGTTCCTCCTTCCCAGATCATCCCGAGGCCTCCACACTGGCTCACGGCCAGGGTCCGGCCTGCCCCTCCCCAGCGGCCCTCCTGGCTGACATCCCTGGACAGAGTGTTCCCGAGACCAGGGCAGGCGGGGGGCCCACACGACACCCACCTGCTTGCCTGAGCACCAGGTCGAGCTGTTCCGCTGCAGCCGGGCCGGGCTCCGCTGCAGGGCCAGGCTCTCCTCCCCGGGGGGCCGGCGTGGGGGCCTCTTCGGCCTGAAGCTGGAGAAGGGCAGCCGGCCCCAGCACGCCCTCCAACGTGTCCTCCCCAAGGAAGTGCTCGTAGGCCTCGGGAATGGAGATGGGCTTGGGGTCTCCAGGAACAGGGCTTGGCACAGGATCAGCTTCTGGGGGTGAGGCCAGGGAAGGGCCCCCCCGGTGCCCAGCTCTCTTGGCTCGACTGTCCCGGAAGAAGAACTCACACACTTCCGGCCACTGGACTTGGGCTGTGGCCTCGCCGGCCTCTGCCTCCTCCTCAACGTCTTCATCCTCCTCCTCAATAGTGTCGCAGAAGAAGAACTCGTAGGCTTCTGGGACCGTCACTGCAAAGCAACTCCTGTACCCGAGTGCCCCAGAGGTAGAGGCGGGGGGGGGCAGGTGCTTCAGGATCCGAGGCTGGGGGAGCCGGGGCCCAACTGCCACTGCGTCCCAAGCTCCAGGCCCCCCACGGCCCCCCGCTGCCGTCCTGGGGGCTGAGGGCCAGGCTGCGGCTGGCGAGGGGGGGCGTGAGGCCTCCGGTCCTGGCTCCTCCGGGCTGGGCACAGCCATAGAGAACCGCACTTTCTTCTTCCTGGTAGCTGGGAGGGGCTCCTGAGAGGGGCATCCAGGGCCACCTGCTGAAGGCTCCCCTCCGGGCTTTTCTTGGTGCCCCCCTGAAGACACAACAGAGCTCATATCCAACTTGGCCAACGGGGCGACCTTGGCCTCCATCGTGTCAGGCCTAGCCTGGGGAGTGGGAGCAGGTGTGGACACACCCACATCAGACTGTGCCTCCGAGACCGGGATAGAGAAGTCCACCTCTGGCTTGACCTCTGGGCCCAGCAGGGGCAGGTCCTCATCCAGCCTAGGCTCACAAGCAGGTATAGACTGAGCAGGGTCAGGACGAAGCTCAGAGGCAGGTGTGGACGGAGCAGGGTCAGGACGAAACTTGCAGTCAGGTGTAGACGGAGCACGGTCAGGACAAAGCTCAGAGACAGGTGTAGACAGAGCAGGGTCAGGACGAAGCTTGCAGACGGGTGTGGACGGAGCAGGGTCAGAATGAACCTCGGAGGCAGGTGTAGACTGAGCAGGGTCAGGACGAAACTTGGAGACAGGTGTGGACGGAGCAGGGTCAGGACGAAGCTCGGAGGCAGGTGTGGACGGAGCAGGGTCAGGATGAAACTTGGAGACAGGTATAGATGGAGCACGGTCAGGACGAAGCTCAGAGACAGGTGTAGACGGAGCAGGGTCAGGACGAAACTTGGAGACAGGTGTGGACAGAGCAGGGTCAGGACGAAGCTCAGAGGCAGGTGTGGACGGAGCAGGGTCAGGACGAAACTTGGAGACAGGTGTGGACGGAGCAGGGTCAGGACGAAGCTCGGAGGCAGGTGTAGACGGAGCAGGGTCAGGACGAAGCTCAGAGACAGGTGTGGACGGAGCAGGGTCAGGACGAAGCTCGGAGGCAGGTGTAGACGGAGCAGGGTCAGGATGAAGCTTAGAGGCAGGTGTAGACGGAGCAGGGTCAGGACGAAGCTCGGAGACAGGTGTAGACGGCGCAGTGTCTGACTTTGCTGTGGAGAAATCTGGACAAGGTCCCTGGGCAGGTGTGGACACAGTGTGTAGCTCAGCTCCGGGAGTCATTCTGAGTAGGTTCGTACCTTGCTCAGTAGTGGGGACAGGTGTAGACAGATCCAGTCCTGGCCCTGGCTGGGCCACCTGCTCAGGGGCTCCTGCAGACTCTGGGCCCCGCTCGTCCTGCTGGGCTCCTGCCGTCTGCTCTCCCACCCCAGCTGAGAGATCCTTCCCCCGGGACCCAGCGGGGCGGAGGCCCTCTTTGGGCCGGGCCTCGGAGAGCCTGGGGGAGCCCCGCAGGGTGGGAGAGGAGCCTGCCGCACTGGAGCGCCCACCTCCCTTGGCACCTGCGGCTCGCCTCTTCTTTCGGCTGGGGCTTCGCTGCTGGGCCCCAGGGCTGCCGGGGGGCCTCTGGGGCAGAGGGCTGCGGCCTGGGGACCCGGGGCTCGGGGGAGCCTCGCCAGGGGGGCGAGGGGCAGGGTCCCGGGGGGCCGGCCCCTGCAGAAGCCTCTGCATCTCGTCTCTGGAAGGTACTGGCCCTTGGAGGGGCGCGCTCTGGCCGGGAGAGGTGGCGCCAGGGCTGAGGGGTGGCCGGGCTTCTGACCACACTGACGTGCTGGGCATCTGCTGACTGGCCCCCTGGGCCAGGACAGGCTCTTGCCAAGACCTGCTGACCAGCTGCTGCGCGGCTGCCTGGTCCTCCTCCTCGAAGCCACGCCAGCCACTCCCCCCGAGAAGGGCCTGGGGCCCGGGGGGGCTGCTGCCACTGCTGTCCCCTTGGTCAATGTCACTGGACAGGGGTTCGTCCCCAGAGGCCAGGCCGGCCTGCAGGAGGCCACACTCCTCGGCAGTGGCCGAGAACTCAGCCCAGTCCTGGTCGCTCAGCTGGACGCTGTACTGGAAGTTCTCCATGTGGGGCGGGCGGCACGTGAGCGGCAGAGCTCGGGTCTTCATGCAATGCGTCCCCCTGTGCACCCAGCAGGTGCCTGCCCCGCCCTGGCTCACAGCCGGGCCAGCATCTTCGCCCTGAACGGAGCCAGCAGACGCGGGGAGCAGGCTGCTTCCTCCAGTCAGACCGTGTGCAGCCCCCTGTCCTTCCTGTTTCCAAATCGACCCCCGACAGCAACTTTATGACATGTCTCCTTGCTTCCACCAAATACGGCTCCCGGTCAGTGAGGTGCGCGAAGAAGTAGGGTCCTTGTGTTTGGATCTCGACCCCAGAAGCAGCTGCCCTTCACATCCTCAAGCATTGTCTGTTCAGCCGGGTCGGCCGCAACCTCCAACTTCCCTCCACACGGGCCGGCCTGGCGATGGTGAGCCCTGGCCTGTCCCAGCATGCCCCAGGTGGCAGCTGGCCACGGAGGAGGGGCCGCAGTGTCCAGCGTGTGACCGGCCTTGGTAATGACCTCCCACTAGCCTGGGCTGACACAGGCCACTGTGCTGCCTCTGAGCTCACCAAAGTCACACTGGTGCTGGCCAGGGCGCACTCGGGTCATCCGGGAGAGCCCAGGCAGGAGGTCGCAGAAGGGACACGAGCCTGCTGACTCCCAGCAGCTCCCTAGGTCATCCTCGGGGTCTGTGCTCCTGACCCGGGTCTGCCCAGCTGGCGAAGGTCCCTCCGTCGGCCTTGTCTGGGTGACCCAAGGCAACCCCAGCTGGGGAGCCTCTAACCTCTCGAGCCCCTGTGGTGGGGCTGCCCTTCGGCTCCTGCTGGTCCAGTCCTGGGATGGGGGTGCCTGGGCCCCAGGGCACTGTGGCTTCCTCGCTCACTGAGCTTCACCCTCCTCTCGAGCCCTGAGGAGGATCCCTGCGGGGGCCTCCACCTCCCGGACCCCTTAGGGATTGCCCCTGAGGGAGGGAATGAGGGGCTGCTGGTCCAAGCGGCGGGTCCAAGAGCGGCATGGTGCCGCCCGCCATGCAGGCCCCACCCCCACAGCCAAAAATACCCATCCCAGGGTCACATGTCTCCTGCCAGCCATCAGGGCCCAGGCCACAAATAGATGGCATTTGAGGGGCCTCCAGCTACGTGAGGGACACCTCCTCGTGCGGTTGGACACTGACCAGCACGAGAATGCTGACCAGCACTCAGCGCTCAGCACTTCGGCCCCCTTGTCCTGGCCGGAGGCTGCTCTTTCCTCTTAAAGGGGCCCCACTGCTGTGAGACCTCAGACCCACTCCCCCATCACTTCACTGCCAGCAGCACCCCCGGGGCCAGTCTAGGCCCTCTGGGTCCTAGGGCTGTACCCTGACACCTGAGGGGAACGAAGGGAGTCGGAGTGACCAGCCGGGACATGATGGACTCCAGAATGTCCCTTGAGGTCCTCTGGGGGTGGCCTGCTGCCGACCGGGGCTGGGCTCAAGGGGCTCGCTGGCCCCTCCCCTGGCAGCACTGCCCACCCTGCTAGGGGCTTGGGGGCACATGGGGGTGTGAAGGCTCTCAGGTGAGGGCACCCCAAGTGTGCATGGCCCTTGGACCTCTGGAGAGCGTGGGGAGGGGTCAGGGGAGAAAAGTGGGTCACTCCTGCCAGCATCTCCCCACCTAAGCTCCTGGAGAGGAGACCCGCAACGGGGGTGCCAAGAAAGGGCTCTGGTGCTGCCAACCCCCAGGTGAACCAGTCACCCAGAGATGGGCAGGGGTGACGTGCCCCTGAAGAACAGCAGCCCCTCACAGGACCCCCGAACACTTTTCCCAAAACCTCCCGTCCGGAGGGCGAGCCAGGAGGACCGTTTCACAGCCGAGTGGGTGAGGCAGAGAGTGTGAGTGACCTGTGCGAGCCACAGCCAGCAAGGGCAGAGCTGGGGTCCAAAGCCCCTGCTGCAGGCCGCGCTCCAGCCGTCCTGGACCTGGGGCCGCGTGGCTGTCCCTGAGCAGGTCACTGTGCCGCGCACGAGCCGCCCAGCTGGGGACACAAGCAGGAAGCAGGGGTAGGCAGCAGCCACCTACACGCAAGGAAGACCATTCCGACAGCGCCACCTCCTAAGGAGGAAGCAGAGAGCCTGGGACAGCAGTCCTGTGAGAGTCTGCAGGACAGCACCCGGGGGTGGGGACAGCAGGGCCAGGCACGGGGGTTTGAGCCTATTCCATGTGACAGGTGTGCAGGAAGCACCCAAGGGACAAATGGTAACTGCGCACGTGGCATGGCCACGGCCAGATGCCACCCGAGAAGGTGAAGGCCTGCCACGCGCTCCTGGGCAGGCGAGCTGGCCTGGGGACCGTCACCCCCTGAACCTTTCTGCGCCTTCTGTCTTGTGTCGCCTGTGAGGCTTCCTTACTAGTGACGCAAAACACTCCACGCTGGTCCCAACGTGGGATTTCGCCCACCAAGCAACTCTGCAACACCCATTTCAGCCCATCCTGACGCACTCTGGAGAGAGTGTCAGATCCCAGGTTGCGGGCTTGGTTCACAAGACTGTCCCCCCACTGATGCCAGGTCCCACGACATTTGTCCCACTTGGCACACATCAGAGGTTCCCACGGTTGCTGCCCCTTGGACTGGACTCGTTTGCTGGAGCGGCTCACAGAACTCAGGGAAACTCTTATCTGTATTTGCCGGTTGATTATAAAGGGACGTGACAAAGGACGCCAATGAGCATCCGGATGGAAGAGCTGTGGTCTGCGAGGCACGTGGACGGGCCTCAGTGTCGCTGTCCCGCAGCTGCCCTGACCACTGCCCCAGCGCTCAGACCCCAGACTGCAGGCTTTCTCATGCCAGGGGGTCGGCCCCTCACTCTGGTTGCAGCCCCTGTCCCTTCTCCCCAGGATTTGCACACACAAGGGCTGCAGATGCCACGTTTCCAGCGTGGTTGGTCTTCCCGGTGCCCAGACTCACCCAGGAGCTGACTCAGAACAAGGTGCTGCTGGTGCCCGTGTCGCCCAGGAAATGACAAGGATTCAGGAGCTCTGTGCCAGGAACCAGCGTCAGAGACCAGCCTGCACATTTGCTCTGAGCTCACGGTCACGTCCTTCCCTCCGCATCACCGTCCGGCTGGAGCCAGCAGCTGGGGCTGGGACTTGGGTGGAGCAGTGATGCTGTGACCATTCTGGAACATCCTTTTGGCAAATGTGTGTCTGCGGTGTTGGAGAGTGGTTGGGTCAGGGCGGTTGTCCAGCCCAGGGGTCCTCCCCCGGGGTCCTGCGTTCACGCCAGCAGGGGGACATGCCCAGGTCTGTGTGCCTGGCCTCCTGCCGGTCCTGGTGGTCACCGTGCTTTAATTCCTGGACAAGCGGCAGGCTCCTGGCCAGTCCCATCTTCTCCAGGGGCGTTTGCCGCTTGCTCTTCTAGGCTTTCTTATGGATTTGTGGGAGTTCTCACACTGTGGAGCTGGATCTGATTAAATGTTTACAGTTTGAATATCGCCTCCCTCTGTCTCGCTTTTTCAGTCTTCAGGGTGCCTTTGGATGAACAAACATTTAAATGGATACAATCCAAATTGTATCCTAGTCATAAATTGTATCCTAGTCCAAGCTGCCCCCAGTTTCCAATTTTCTGTTCCCCTGAGCTCCCTGCCCCCCAGGGAAGGCGGCCTCCCTGGTCTGCCTTTCTCCTCGGACCGGACCCAGGGGCCTCAGGACGCGGGGTGACAGGCGGTGCGGTCACTGTTTCCACGTGGGCACCAGGGTCACGTCTGGGCTCTGGGGGTGCACGTGTGTGCGGACCTGCACGCGCAGACGAGCGGGGCTGCCCCGGGGGAGGGGAAAAGGGGTTTGCAGCAGGGGCTTGTCGACAATTCCCCAGGGGCCCAGAAGAAGAGAAGACAGGGTCACGGGAGGCGGGAGGCTGGTTCGGGTGCGGGAAGTGGGGTGGCCGAGGAGGAGGCCATGCAAGGGCCCAGAGGCCTTCGGAAGACCAGCTGTCCCCGGAGTTCGTTTCCCCGCCATCAGGGACCTCTGGGTGGGGGTGTCCGCCGTGGGGAGGAGAGCAGGCGGGGCTCTGCGGCGCGTGGTCGGACCCGGACCGGCTCCTGCGTGGAGCTGGGGAGTCAGGCGAGACCAGCACCTGGGCGCAGGGGGCGCCTGGACGCACCGCCCGCGAGCGGGGGGGGGGGGGGGGGGGGGTGCCCTGTCGGAAAGGGTTGGACCGGCAGCAGCCTGCTGTACCCCTGCGGCCACCAGAGGGCACCAGGACCCCACTGGAAGCCAACAGAGTCCCCCCTACACACACACACACTTCTGGGGAGCCAGGGCCCCCCCTGGTGAAGGCTTGCAGCCCCTTTGAACCCTGGACCTTGAGGCAGTAAACACTAAAACAAGAGCCAACTTTTGAGGAGCAGCTATTACATGCCAGGCAGTCTTACATGCTTTTTACAAATCATAGGCTTTTTATTTAAAAATTGTAAATAGTATTAATGAGGTATAGACGATACACTGCACCTATTTACAGTGTAGAATTCGCCCTGGCTGGTTTAGCTCAGTGGTTAGAGCGTCAGCCCGCTGTCCAGAGAGGCCCGGGTTCGGTTCCGCTAAGGGCATGTACCTCGGTTGCAGTCTGTCCCCGCCCCTGGTTGGGTCGTGCAAGAGGCAGCCACTCATGTGTCCCTTTCACATCGATGTTTCTCTCTCTCTCCCCCTCCCACTCTATCTGAACAAAAAAAAAAAAAGGAAAAAAATGTCCTCGGGTGAGGATTAAAAAAAAAGAAAAGAAATGACTGGTCAAATCTTTTGCCTATTTTTGTAACTGGGTTAGTTCTTTTCTTGTTGTTGAACCTTGAGAAATCTTTGAATAGTTGAGATCTTTGAACCTAAGTCCTTCATCAGATGTGTTATTGGCAAATATTTTCTGCTAGTCTACGGCTCCTCTTTTTATTTTCTTAAAAATGTCTCTTGAAGAGAAGAAGTTAACATTTTATCTGTTTTTCTTTCATGGATTGTGTGTGTGTGTGGTATCTAGGAAATCTTTGCCTAACCAAAATGTTCTAAGTTCTCTCCAGAAAGTTTCAGGTTTTGCATTTAAGTCTATGACCTATTTTGAGTTCATCTGTACACATGGTGTGAGGCATGGTTCAGGTTATTTTGTTTGCATACAGATGTACAGTTGTTCCTGGTCTGTTTGTTGAAAACACTCTCTGTTCTCCAGGAAATTAATGACCTTTGCACCTTTGTTGAAAATCACCCACCTAGGTATGGTTAGGTCTATTTATAGAGCTCTAGGGGATAGTTTTCACTTGTAACACTTTAAGATGCTCCACTGTCTCCTCATGTACATTTTCCCAGCAAGAAATCTGCCGTCATTTTATCTTTCTTCCTATGTGTATAACGTTTTTTCTCTAGCAGTAATTAAAACTTTTTCTTTATTGCCGTTTTTGTAGGGAGGGGGGTTACAGCTTTATTGATATATAACTCACACATCATACAGTTCATCCATTTAAATTAAATGGTTTTAGTATGGTCACAGAGTTGTACAACCATTATCATAATCAAGTTTAAAACATTTCTATTACCCGCCCTGGCCGGTTTGGCTCAGTGGTTGGAGCATCAGCCTGTGGACCAGAGAGTCCCAGGTTTGGTTCCCGCTAGGGACACGTACCAAAATAAATTAATAAAATAAAACATTTCTATTACCCCACAAGGGACCCCGTCTTATTCCCCTCAATCTCTCCCAGCTCCAAGAAATCACTGACCTACTTTCTATCAATTTGCATATTCTGAACAGTTCACATAAACGGGGTCACAAACACATGGCCTTTGTGACCGCTTTTCCACTGAGCATGGTATTCTCGAGATTTGTCCGTGTTGCATGAGTCACATATCAGTACTTCATACCTCTTGATTGCCAAATAACATTTCTTTATATGGATATGCACATTTATTTATCCATTCGTCAGCTGACGGACACTTGGATTATTTCCACTTCTTGGTGGCTATTATGGATAATACTGCCACGGACATTTGTGGACAAGTTTTTCTGTGGACATTTGCTTTCATTTCTCTTGGGTCCAGGCCCAGGAGTGGAATTATGCTAACTCTACAGTTAATCTTCTGAGGAACTTCCAGACTTTTTCTAAAGTGGATGCACCATTTTACATTCTTACCAACAATGTATAAGTGTTCCGATTTCTCCACAAGTTCCTAACACTTGTTATTATCTGTCTTTTTAATTATAGCTGTCTTAGTGAGGGTGAAGTGGTATATCGCATGGTGGTTTTGATTTAAATGTTCATGATGGCTAATGATATTGAGCCTCTTTTCATGTGCTTATAGGCTCAATTGTGAATCTTTGGAGAAATATCTATTCAGATTTTTTCACCCATGTTTTTAGTTGGACTATTTCTTTTTATTATTGAGTTGAGAGAGCTATTTATATATTCTAAATACCAATCCCTTGTCAATATGTTTTGCAAATATTTTCTCACCTTCTGTGTGTCTTTTCAGTTTTTGGTAATGTCCTTTGAAGCACAAAAGATTTTCATTTTTATGAAGTCCAGTTTTTTGTTTTTTGTTTTTGTCACTTATGCTTTGAACATCACCATTGTGAAGGTCTGGGGTCCTTCACCACCCAAGATCACAAAGATTTGCTCCTACATTTTCTTCTAAGAGTTTTGTGGTTTTAGCTCTTACATTTATGTGTTTCAGTCACTGTGAGTGAATTTCGGTGCAGGGTGTGAGGTAGGGGTCCAACTTTAGTTTTTGCACATGGATGTGTAGGTGTCCTGGCACCATCTGTTGAAAAGAGTGTTCTTCCCCCCACTGAATTGTCTTGAATCTTTGTTGAAATGAACTGACTATAACAGTGAAGACTTGTTTCTGAACACTCAGTTCTATCTCATCAGTCTCTATGTCTAACCTCATGCTAGTGCCAGACTGTCCTGATTATTGTAGCTTTGTAGTAAGTTTTGAAATCAGAGGAATTGAGTCCTCCAACTCCATTCTTCTTTTTCAAGAGTATTTTGGATAACAGAAACTTGTCGATTTCTGCAAACATGTTAGCTTGGGCTTTGGTTGACATTGTGTTGAACTTATAAATCAATTGAAGAAGTCCTGTCATCTTAACAATGTAAATCCTCAGATCCACAGGCATGGAATAGCTTTCCATTTACATGTTAGCTTGGGCTTTGGTTGACATTGCGTTGAACTTATAAATCAATTGAAGAAGTCCTGTCATCTTAACAATGTAAGTCCTCAGATCCACAGGCATGGGATAGCTTTCCATTTATCTGTGTCTTAGTTTCTTTCAACAATATTGTGTAGTTTTCAAAATATAAGTTTCACACCTCTTGTTTTAATGTATTCCTAAGTATTTCACACTTTTTTATGTTATTATAAATGGCATAGATTTCTTAATTTCGTGCTCACATTGTTTGTTGCCAGTGTATGAAAATACAATTGGTTTAAAAAACTTTTTTTTTTTTTCCTTTATTGATTTTGAGATAGAGAGGAAGGGAGAGGGAGAGAGAGACAGAGACATCGATGAGAGAGAACATCGACTGGCTGCTTCCTGCATGCTCCCCACTGGGGCTCTGGCCCACAAGCTGGGCATGTGTCCTGAAGGAATTGAATCAGCGACCTCCTGGTGCTGGGCCGATACTCAACCACTGAGCCACATTGGCCAGACTACAGTTGGTTTTGAAATGTTGATCTTGTCTGGAACCTTGCTTCACTCACTTATTGGTTCTAATAGTTTTGTAGTGGATTTCTTAGGATTTTCTATTATAAGATCATGTCATTTGAATGTAGATAGTTTTAGGTCTTCCTTCCCAAGCTGGATGTCTCTTTTGTTTAATTTTCTTGACTAATTGGCTGGACTGGAACTTCCTACTCTGTTGAAGAGAGTGGTAAGAGCAAACGGCATCGTTTTCTATGTGTCTTAGCAATTCAATTATAATGCTGCTTGATGCAGGTTTCTTAAAACTTCTTGCACTTGAGATTCATGGAGCTTCTTGGATCTGTTGGTTTAGTTTACATCAAGATTGGAAAAATCACCTGGCCAGTGTGGCTCAGTGGTTGAGCGTTGCCCCATGGACTGAGAGGTCCCGGTTTGATTCCTGGTAAGGGCACATGCCCGGGTTGTGGGCTTGATCCCCAGCAGGGGGCGTGCAGGAGGCAACCAATCAATGTGTGTCTCTCACATGGATGTTTTTATCTCTCCCTTCCTCTCTCTCTAAAATAATGAATAAAATTATATTTTTTAAAAGACTGGAAAAATTCCAGCCTTTATTTCTTCAAATGACGTGATTTCTCCCCTCCTTCTGGGACTCCAATTACGTGTAAATCAGGGCCCTTGGAGTTGTCCCACAGCTCACTAACACTCCCTTCTTGTCTTTTTTTCCTGTTTTTTCATCTTTTTTATTTTTAATAGTTTGTTACGTTTGCAGCTTACTAGTACTTTCTTCTTCAATGTCTGATGTGCCCTCAATCCCATCCAATGTGGTTCTGGTATCAGATATTGTCATTTTCATCTTCTATAGAAGCAGGGTCTTCCATACGTTCAATGTCTGACAAAATTCGGTCTTTCCTCTGGCTCCTTGAACACATGAAGTACAGCTATGAAGTCCTCGTTCACTCTTCTGTCTTCCATGACATTTCTGAGTGGCTTTCGACTGATTGACTTTCCTCTTCCTTATGGGTCATACCTTTCTGCTTCTTTGTACGCCTGGTAATTTGGTACTGAACACAGTGAGTTTAACATGTCAGGCGCTGGACATTTGTGCGCTCTGATGCGTGTTCTTGGCTTTGTTCCGGGTGCAGGTGAATTACTCGGAAGCAGTTTGATACTTTCAGGCTTTGTTTGTGAACTTTGTTAGGCACAGATGGACCTTTTACTAAAAAGTCGCCTGCCTGGGGCAAGACTCCCCACCATGACCCACCCAGTTAGGGGTTTACAGTCAGGTCGCCCTGTGAGGCTGCTCCCACGCCCCCTGCTTCACCCACACTGTGACCTCTAGCCACACTGGCCCCCCGGCGGATGGCTCCTGGCCCAGAAACCCTCTTCAGGTCGTCCGCTGGGGCAGTAAAGGCTCACCTCACTGGCCCTTCTCAGGGACCCTGTCTTCCACCACGTGAGGTTCCCCACGTCTCGTCCAGGGTTTTAGCGGATTAAGGCAGGAAGGTAAATCTGGTCCCAGCTATTCCATCTCGGCTGAAAGCAATGGTCAATACACAGATTATGGATCCCCAACCACACCGTGCTGAGGAGGGTGCTGTTCCTCATCCCATGCTCCATTTGAGATTTGGGACTCGAGGTCACACAACTGAGCGACAGCACACGTCGGACTCGGTCACAGGCTGTGCTGGAAGCCTTCCTGACCCACCACGCCTGTGCGGACCTGAGGCTGTGAGGCTGTGAGCTGTGGGTACAGGAGGCATGTCGCCGGCTGCCCAGACACAGAGCAGGCGGAGGGGCCGGGGCTGGTGGGCGGGGGAGGGTCTCTGTCTGTCCAGTCTGTGCCTGTCTCGCTCTGTGCACCTGTCCTCTTCACGTACCTGCCCAGGTGAGCCTAGTTCTGGGCGGGCTGATTCCTGGAAGGCCAGAGGCAGGTGTAATTTTAGTAACTGACTTCCTCTTCCGCACGTCCCCCTACACCACAGCCCGGACCTGAGTGGACTGTGCAGCTGGGACATGAGTGGGTGGCAGCCAGGAAACCCACAGCCTGGTCAGTCACAGCCACGGATGGCCCTCGGGTCACAGCTGCCGCACTCTGAGCACCTCTCAGGGACACTGCACAACTGTGCCCAAGCTCCAGGCCAAGGTGGCCCAGACTTTCCCTAGGGTTCTTGCTGGGGGCAGTAGGTCTCCCCACCCAGGAGGAAGCTGCCCATGGAATTTGGGAAGGAGATCAAATTGGATGCTGAGGATAAGGCTCTCGGGGGTCGTCTGAGGGAACCCACAAACCCTTAGGCCTAGCCCCCCAGCCATGTATGCCTGTGGGCTGGGGAGCGTCCCCCTGTATGGCCTAGTGCCAGAGAGGGGCCACAGGCACGAAGGAGCACCAACCCACACACCCCTAACTGGGGGCAGGCATACGTCCCCATGATTTCATATAAGGTCCGGCGTAGCTCAGCAGTTAGAGGGTCGGCTCATGGACCAATGAGTTGCGGGTTTGATTCCGGCATGTACCTTGGTTTCAGTTCATCCCTGGCCCCGGTGTGGTCGTGCCAAAGGCAACCAGTCGATGTGTCTCTCTCACATCTATGTTTCTTTCTCTCCCTCCCACTCTATCTGATGAAAAACAGAAAAATATCCTCGGGTGAGGATAAAAATAAAATAAAATGTAAAAGGTCCATGGCAATCCCTTGTCTCATCTGCTTGGTATCATTGACCCTGGAGCTCCGTCTGTCCAGGCCACTGTAAGAAAACACCACAGGCTGCAGCTCATCAGCAACAGAAATGTATTTCTCACAGTCCTGGAGGCTGGGGGGCCCAGATCACGGTGCGGCAGGCCTGCTGTGGGGGCAGCGGTCTCCTTGGTGTCCCCACGTGGCCCAGAGCAGCCGGCTCTCCCCTCCCCCCTTTGGCAAGGGCACGAATCCCCTCCTGAGCTCCACTCTCATGACCTACCCGCCCCCAGAGGCCCTGTCTCCTCATGCCATCACCTTGGTGGTGATGCATTTGGGGGGACACTTTCTGTCCACCCTACCTGGTACCAACTCAGGAGAAGTCTGGCCCAAGCTCGCCAACTCCAGGATCAGATAGATCAGAGAGCTCAGCTCCTGGGATGGTGCCCTCACCTCTTAACTCAGCGAACCGACCCCTGGGGCCCACTCACGAGCCTCCGCCTTTCCTGCCGCTGAAGCAGCAGAAGGAATAGCCTGCACCAGCCGCAGGCACCCTGTCCACCAGGCATCTCACTCAGGGCCCCTCTCCCAGGACCGGCTTGGCCGAGGCACGCCTAACACCTGCCTGACCTGGATGGGCAGGAAAGCCCACATCCGGGCCCTGACGGGCCTGGGGCCTTGAAAGACAGTAAGAGGGTCAGGAGCTGGGGGTGCTCAGGCTGGAGCGGGCCAGCCCCTGGCCCTCTGGGTGGGGATGTTTGGCCCAGATTGTGATGAGTGCAGAAGTTGGGGGATGGGTGTGGGGGCCAGGAGATGATAATGGTGTCTCCCAACAACTGGGGCTGCTGGGACAAGACCAGGGGTGCTGGGGGAGCCATGAGGAGGGGAGGGGCCGAGCTGGGGAAGCCCTTCCCCCACCACCAGGGTGAGGATGGGGGGCGGGAGGTGGGAAGATACTGCTGGCTGAGGTTAATGACCTCCCTACTGTGAGGTCAGCGCTGATGAGGGCCAAGCACAGGGCCTCAGGCTCCCAGCACTGACCTCCTACTCTGCTGAGCCAGCACCCCCACACAGACCCTCACTTGCAGTAGAGGTCCAGGGGTGAGCCCAAAGCCACCAGGTGACTGGTGGGTGCTGGGGTCAGGCGGGTACCCGGAGATGACATCTCTGAGGCAGCAGCAGCCAGGTGCTTTTTGGTAACCCTGGATGCAGGCTGCAGAAAGGGTCCGGGTGGCCCTGGCCTGCTGGTGTGGCTGGCAGGGCAGCTGAGGCCAAGCTACCTAGGGTGCTGGGCACTGGAAGTCCCAGCAGGAGTCTCCCACACCTGTCCTTGTTAGAATCCTGGGGCCTGCGCACCCTCAGCCCCTCTGCTCCATTCCAGGCTTCCTCATCAGTTCCTGCCACAGAAACAATCCCAACCCTGCCTGGATGCCACAGTGGGGGCGTGAGCTTGGCTGGGCAGCACCCGCCACCGGGACTTGCTGGGAAACCGCTTCCGGATCAATGCCAGGCCCGGCCCTCTGCCCACCCCAGCTTCAGGGCTGTTTCTGGGTTATTCTTGCTTTCATTGCAGCCCTCACCCAACTCCTCCACAGTCCCACCCTCCCGAGGGCTCGTGGTGGTGACCCCTGGGCGGCTGTGGCCGTATGTGCTTATTGCTATTGTTATTTATATTTATCTTAAATTTTACATACTTCTTGTTATTTATTGCTGCATAACACATTAACCTACAACTTAGCACTAAGACCACCAGCACTCACCCTCCCACAGTGTCTGGAGAACAGGAATCCCGGAGCTGCTCCCGGTGGGTCTGTCTCAGGGACTCCCGCCCGGAGGCTGCCCTGAGCACGCCCGCCACGGCTGGGCTCGTCCGCAGGCTGGACAGTGCCAGAGGCTCTCCTGCTCAGCCCACTGTTACAGCTGTGACAGCAGGTCCCCAGTCCACGCTCTGCTGGTCTCCCAGAGCGAGTGGTGTCAGACGGACAGACAGACAGAGCAGGCACCACTTGCAACCTGATCTTGAAGAGACAGCCCATTGCTTCTGCGGGAGCCTCCAGATGGGGACGTACACTGGCTGCATCCCAGGTGGAGGGTCCCTGGGGGCCTTTCAGGAGGCTGTCAAACCCAGGGCCCGTTTCCTCGCCAAGGGTGCATCCCAGGAGGGGGAGCAGAGACGGAGCAGCCTGGCACACCTTTGGTGGGGAGCCGTCCCAGCCCCTCCCCCCCTGCACATTTCCTGGGCTGATTCTTACTCCAGACTTCACGCCTATGACTTGCTGTCATTGTTTGGTCCCCAAGCCCTGGCCCCACAAGCAGACAGACTGACCCAGACAGACAGGGCTCTGACACCCAGAGGCACATCCTCTGACAGTGCACATTTACTCCGAAAACATTTATTGACCCTTGGTTCTCTCGGGAACCAGGCTGGAAGGAGGCCAAAGATGAACAAGACATTGCCTTCCATTGAGGGGAAGTGACTAAGAGCACCCCCCCTCCAGGAGGAAGTCCTGGTCCCTCCCCGTCCCCTCCACATGCCTGGAGTAGGTGCTTCATCCCTACTTAGCAGGAAGTGTCTGCAAGACAAAAGCCAAGATAAAAATAGCTGGGGTGGAGGGTGAAGGGACCAGGGAATGACCCTGTGCCCGCCCCGCCAGAGGCAGGGGGAGAGGCAGGAAGTGGGAGGGAAGGAAGAGTCCCCAGTGGGGGCTCCGTGGTTTGGGCCCCAGCTCTCCCCTGGCCCAGGGCAGATGTCCAGGCTGGTGCGGGGAGGGGTGTGCTTCCTTCCACAGCTGGAGACTAGACTGCTGCTCCTGAGACCCAGCTGCCCTCAGCTGCTAGAAGGCGCAGCCTGGGGAGAGCCCAGGACAACCCCTCTGTGCTGCCCGGTGCTGCTCTCTGCCCAGGGCCCTCCCCATGGGGCCCAGCCTCAGCTCCCTGTGCTTCTCAGACTTCCCTGACCTAACCAAGGATGACACCCCTCCCCCAACCTCCTGGCTCCAGCTTTCGTGCAAATTGATTGATTAGGTCAGTGTGGACTGAGCGGTTCCAAGTGTGGGGTCCAGCTCTGAGCAGGCCCTGACTTATCCCCCTACCCACCCAAGGCTCCACAATCCACACCCTCAGGTCTTCCCCTTCCTTCTGCACTGGGGCCCTTCCTGAGCTCCCCTCCCCTAACCAAGCTCCCAGCCCCCCCAGTACAGACCCTCCTCAACCCTCCTGCTCAGGTAAGCCCATGGCACAGACGTGGGAGGCATGAAGGAGGAGCAGACTAGCGTGACTCACTGCCTCCTGGATGGGCCTGGCCAGGCAGCAGGAAGGCAGGCAACTGTCTGAATCTGAGCAGCGGTTGGGAAATGAATGTTGGCTCGGCCTCAGGCGGGCTCAAAATGATACATTCCAGTCTGGGCTTGTGTAACTGGGACCACCCCCTCATCACACCTGGAGCACAGCGGACTCCAGGGCCAACATCCCATGCTGCCTAGTATCGCAGCCTTGTACTGTAGGGCTGACACACAGCAGGTGCTCAGGACAGATGCTTGGCAGGATGAACCCCCGTCGTCTCCCGTGGGTGGGGGGATAAGGGCCCAGCCCTCCCAGAGCAAGGCCAGACAGAGCAGCACTGGACTCTGGTGGGAGAGCACCTCCCGGACTAAGTGCCCCGTGCCTGCCTCCCCCGTTCCCTGCCTGGGCCCCTGATGCCCTCTCCTGCTGGCACCCCTGTCCTGGGGAGACCGGCCTGGAGCAGGCTCTGTTCATGGAGGAGAGGTAGAGGGTTTGGTGCAGAGCGGTGAGAACAAAGCCGGATGTGGATCAGGCCGGAACTGAAGCTTCAGGACAGGTCACCCCTCAGCTTGGCTGTGATAACAACGATAAAATGCACCTCCCCACCTTCCAGGGCCCCCAGGAGTGGGAGCGGGAAAGGTGCCTTGAAAAGATTGCCCAGCCCTGGCCGGTGTGGCTCATCGGCCTGTGGACCAGAGAGTCCCGGGTTCGGTTCCCGCTAGGGGCACGTACCCGCCCCCCAAAAAAAAGATTGCCCAGTGATGCTGAACTAATGTTTCCCAACCCTGGGATACATTCTGGAAAACAGGGCGACTGTCACCTTCCGGCCTGAGCATCCTGGGGGACCTAACACCCCCACTTCAAGGCGGGTCGTGGCTCCCGCCCAGGTGCGGGCAAACGCAACGCCCGGGCGGTCCCACACGGGGGCGCACCTGCCGGAGGGAGGGGCCCCGCGCAGGGCGCAGCCTGAGGCAGGGGGCGGAACCGCGCAGAGCCCCGCAGCCCCCCACCACACCGCCGAGGGCCCCAGCCCTACCAGACTAGACCCTTCGCTGAAAGCACACAAACACACACAAAACTCTCGCTGCGGCCTCTGGAGATAAATACTCCCTGGTACAGTCTCAGCAAAGGCTTCGGCCCTAAAACGGGGCGGCCTCACCGCAGCCACGGCCTCCAGGGCACACCCCGGCCCTGCAGCCCCGCCAAGGGGGCGGCGGGGGGCGCCCCGGTCAGAGCCTGCAGGAGCGGCAGCGCGAAGGCGGCCCCGGGGCGCAGCGGGGGGAAGGGGCCGTCGAACGCCGGCAGCGGGGGGCTGCCCACGTAGACCTCGGGCGTGGGGACCTCCGCGGCGGGGGGTGGGGGCGCCGTGCGGCGCGAGGGCCCCAGCTGGCCCAGGCAGGCCGCCAGGTGGCCGAGCAGGCGAGAACGCACGTCGGCCGGGACGTCCTCGCAGCCGGCCAGGAAGCGATTCACCTCGGCCAGGCACTCATTGAAGCCCGCGCGGTACTTGCCCAGGACGGCGGGGTCGGCGCTGAGCGCGGCTGCGGAGGCAACGGGGACAGGTGGTCGGCGCCCGCGGCGCAGGCCCCGGCCCCCGCGCCGCCGCGTCTCACCTGTCATGTGCACGCGCCGCACGCTCCGCAGGTGCCTCACGGTCATCTCCAGGATGTCCGCCTTCTCCAGCTTCGAGTGCCGGGCGCTCTGGGGGCAGGGCCGGCGGTGGGCGGCGGGCAGGCCGGGGCGCGCCCACCCCGCGGGCTCCGCGCCTCGGGCACGCGACCTCACCCCCGCCCCGACTTACGTCTTGGCTGAGGGCGTCCAGGATGAGGGCCTTGAGCTGGGCGAGGCTGGCGTTGACGCGCGCTCGGCGCCGCTTCTCCATGGCCGGCTTGGAGGACTGAGGGTCGGACGGTGGCTGAGCCCCGCGCCCCTCCGTCCCCGCCCCACGCCGCCCACCCGGGCCGACCCGGTCCCACCTTCCGGTGCTCGGCCGCACTCCGGGGCTTGCTGGGGGTTCGGCGGGCGCTGGCTGGCTCTGCCGCCGGCGGCGAGGCTCTCGGCCTGCCCGGCGTGTCCGCAGGCATGGCGAGGCCGTGCGCCGCCCGGTGCCCGGCGGGGCGAGCCGCCAAGGGCCGAGGGCGAGGTGCAGGGCGTCCCGAGCCTCTCCGGCAGGCGCCAGGCCCGCGCGCGCGTCGCAGCCTCCCGGCTATTTAAGGAAGAGCCTCAGCGGGGTGTGTGAACCCCTCTCCGCATTCTTTCCCACACTCGCGCCAGCCAATGCGCGGCTGCGCTCCTCCCTGCTCCCCCGCCCCCCGCAGCCGCTGTCAGTCACGCCTGGGCTCCGGGCCCACCAACCCCGAGGGCGACAAAGGGGAGCGGGAGCACCCCGCCCGCGCCCGCCTCTGGCACAGCGGGCACAGGCGGGAAAACGCCGCGCCGCCCCCGCCCCCGTCGCCTGCCGAGTGCGCGCCAGGAGGAGGCCTCTCGGGCCGGCCCGGCCGCGCCCTCCGGGGCTGGGCGGAGTCGCCAGCTCCCCAGCGCGAGCGGGAAATCTGAAAGGAAAATTCGCGAAGGGAACCGAGTCCGCCTCCTTCCTCCTCCGCTGTTCCGGGTCCCCGCCCCGGCCTAGGGCCTCTGCACGGCCTCGGAGTCTGACCCGCCGCCGCCTGCAACCTGTGACTCCGCCGACGGGGAGCGCCAGCCACTGGGCAGCAGCGAGGTCCGCTGCCCAAGGTCATAGAGCAGTCAGGGTGGCATCACAGCACAATTGAATGATGGCACAGGGCCAACGAGGGTGATGCTGCAGGGCAGGTGGAATGATGTCACCCGTCAGTCGGGGTGACGTCATTAGAATGTAACCGTGCCACCAGGTGATCAGGGATGATGACTCAGGGCGAAGGCAGGTGATGACCCACCCGAGCCCGCTGGGGTGACATCGTGGCGCTGGTGACATCAAACGCTTCTAGACTGCACGACTTCAGAGTCAGCACCAGCAAAGCAGAGCCGACAGAAAACGGAGGGGCAGTGGCTATGGTTTTGTGTATGTCGAAGCCACGTGCAGGGGAAAAGCTGGGCTATGCTTATTTTCGTGTTTGATGTTGTTTTCGTTTCGATCTACGTCGCGGGGGCGCTACAGTCTGGAGTTCTCAGGGTCCCCAGCCCACTGCCGACGTTTTCAGAGGCCCGCGGAGTCCCACCTGCCCTGGGGGCCGGGGAAGCCCTCCTGGGGCTTCTAATCCCGCGGGAGGCGCGGCAGACACACAAAATACTCAGCCCGCTGTAAGAGACAGAAATGATGGGGTTGCTGGGGGAAGGAAACCCTTCTTTCCTCTGGGTGGGCCAGGGGTCTTCCCTGCCCGGGTTCTTCAGGGAAGAAGGCAGCCCTACCAGGTCCGGGTGGAGGGCGCCGCAGCGCGGGGTCAAAGCGGCCGCAGGGCCCGAGAGAGGAGGGGAGGGACCGCAGGGGCGAGCAGACCAGAGGGCTTCTGGCCCGGGGAGGGTCCTGGACAGCCTTGAGGGGGCTTTTTTGACCGAGAGAGAGCCGACTGGCAGCTCCAAAGGGTCACCTCAGCTGCTGGAGCCTCCCTGGGCGGGATGGGAGACCGCTCAGATTCTCCCCGCTACACATGTGTCTACGTGGGGGTGCGCGCCTCTGGACTGGCCTCAAGACCGAGCTGCCACTCACCAAGCTGAGGCCACCCACTCTCCCTCCCTCTACCGGGCCCCAAAGGAGCGTGTGAAGTTGGGCAGGAGGCATTGGAAAGACGCTGGGGACAGACAGGATGCACCGAGGGGACCCTGCCTGCACAGAAAGTCCTGGTTGGTCCGGTGCCTGCTCCCACCAGTCCCGCAGAAGGTCTCTGGGATCATGGAGCCCCCACTCTGCCCCCCCCCAGTGGCCACCTGAGCCATTTCCTCCTGCTAGGCCTCCCTGGGAGAAGCTGCTAGCCAGGGCTTCCTGGGACCCTGTCTGGGTGGGCTCTGGACCACCCCAGCCGCCCACAGAGATCAGATAGGCAGGAGGTTCAGGCTGGACAGACAGGCCTGAAGAGCGACGTTCTTAACCATTATTTCCCTTACAGTTGTCAGAGAGGATCATTTACCCCTTGTACCTGTTTCCTCACATGTATAATAGGTTATTATTTTTTTCTTTATTGATTTTAGAGAGAGAGGAAGGGCGAGAGAGAGAGAGAGAGAAAACATCGACTGGCTGCTTCCTGCATGCCTCACATTGGGGATTTGGCCCACAACCTGGGCATGTGCCCTGACTGGGAATTGAACCGGAGACCTCTTGGTGCAGGGTCAACGCTCAACCACTGAGCCACACCCACCGGGCACAACAGGTTATTTTTTAAATTTATCCCAGGGCTATTGGGAAGATGAATGAGATCCTACTTTGGAAATAGCCAGAGCAGAGCTGGATACATGTCAGCTACAGTTGTTCCTGCCCCAGGAGGCAGGCGGAAGAGGTCGGAACACAGGAGGAGGCTGGGGCATTCACCTTCGGGAGAGGGAGGGCTGCCTCCCACCCAGGGTCTTCTCAGACCTGTGACTTGGCCTTCCCAGCCCTCACCCCAGCAAGGAGCCCTCTCTAGGCCAGAGAAAGGGGAGCTTCCCCAAGGTCGCCACCCGCACCTCTTCGTGTCTTTCCCACAGGGTTGCACCCCAATGCCTGTATGGCCATGTCTGCCTGGGCCTTCATCCCTCTGACTCCCCCCTTCCCGTCTCTCACACATGGGCTTGATCTCTGGCCGGGCCCACGGGGCTCCCTTGCTATGAGTAGGAGGGTTCTAGGCTGCAGTGGGGGAGTGACTGAGACCCTGGTGTGGCAGCTCGCATTTTCCCAAGATGAACACGGCAGTATTTCCCATCCCACGTGCCCTACGGAGTGTCCCTGATGAGACTGTGATGACACTGAACATCAAAGACACTTCTGGGCCTGGATAGTTTAAATGCCACAAGGGCCCAGCCAGTAGAGCATCGGCCCACTAACCAGAGTCACGGGTTCAATTCTGGTCAAGGGCACGTACCTCAGTTGCAGTTTGGTCCGGGTCATGCAGAAGGCAACTGGTCGATGTATCTCTCTCACATTGATGTCTCTCTCTCTCTCTCTCTCTCTCTCTCTCCTTCCCACTCTATCTAAAGATAAATGGGGGGAAAAATCTTCTGATAGGATTGAAAAATAAAATAAAATAAAATGCCGCAGGTGCACTTTGCTCTCCCAAGACCCCCACTCTTGGAACCCAGAAGAAACACTGTGAGGACTCAGACTGGCCCTGAGGAGGCCCCAAGGAGAAGCCACATGGAGAGGTCACACGAAACGCCTTGTGTAAGTGTTGCGGCGGCATCCAAGTGGTCTCAGACACGTGAGTGAGACACCCCCAGATGATTCTACCCCGCACTGCCAAGCCACCCTCACTGCTGTCCCTGTGGGCTCAGTTCCAACTCTTGCTTCACAGAATACGACAGTTTTGCTGTGACATCGGGCCTCTCTGTTGCACAGCTAACTGGGCAGGTGGGATGGACTGAGCTCCGGACCCAGAGAGAGTGGCCTCTCTCTCCCACTACCCATCCTCCCTGTCTTCACTCCTTTCTTCCTCCACCACTGCTTTGAGACCTCGCTTTCTCTTTGATAAAATGTTTTTATGGAGCCAGCTGTCCTTGGGGGTGAGTCTGAGGGCAGTCAGAGTAGCTACACTCTCCTCCCCACCTCTCCCTCTCCCTTGGGAAGGGGACAGGGCCTGTGGGTACCTCCCACTGGCTTTCTGTTTTGTGTCCTCCCTTGGGTCTGTCAGGTGCCTGTAGCTGCCCTGCAGAGTCAGGGGGTGGGGAGGGAGGGCACGGAAGTCACTTAGTGGCAGGGACATGAGGGAGCTGGAGGTACCAGCACAGCTGGCCCAGATAACGACACAGGATGTGGGGTGCGCCACTGGCAGCCCGAGCTGTGTCCAGCTGGCTGTGGGGCCTGCTGGGTTCCCTTCCTGACCCTTCCTCGCTGGCCCTCAGCACATCCTGTGGGTGTGAACTACTTCAGTTCCTCCACGTTTGGCTCCTGCCACACCCCAGCTCCAGCTCACTGCCCCCCCACTAGAACCTCCCACTGTTGTCTCAGGTCTTCCTTCCACCCCTCCCTCCCTCCCAGCCACCTCTGATGCAGCCAAAGGATCCTTCTCATCTTTAGACCTCCCTCTGCCTCCGTGCAGGGTCTCTTTCGGTGAGAACCAGACACCACGGTGTTTGAGGGGCCCACTGTGCCTGCTGGTCAGTGTGAAACCAGCAGCCTCCTTTGCACCCTCTGCTCTGCACGCCCCCCCCCCCCCCAGACACAGATTGCAGGGGCTGTGACTGGGACGTACGTGTCGAGTCGAGGGTGAGGCTCTGGCATGGGAGGGAGACAGGAAGGCCGTGGCACGGTCAGGAGGTGCCAGCTGCTCTGCCTTCCCGGTTCTGGTGGAAGGGAAGGAGGGCCCAGCCGATGATGTAACTCACAGAGCTCAACGTTACCCTCGGTTAAGAAATTCAGCCCCCCGGGACTCTGAGGACACCTTTCCTGGCTGGCCACAGGCTACTTCGTCAGCCGGCCACAGGGCAGCACCAACCCTGTCGTCAGGGTGGTGTCCAGTTACGACCACAGGCCTCTAGCTAGTCGGACGTGGTCCAGGATGACCGTGGTCTTGGGAGCAGCGACGACCAGATGGAAAGGTGGGGGAAGGATTCGGATTTGAACGGGAGCAAAAATGAGCTAAGTCTCAGTGAAGTCGGAGAACCTGGGCTAAGACCCACACCTTTGAGGTGGGGTCCCTGGTCATGAAGAAGGGACAATGGGACAAGGCATGCGTGCGACGCCCCCCAGCCAAGTCTCACGGCTTCTCGAAGCAAGAGCTCTCTGTGGTGCTCCAAATTCGGAAGCAGGTAGGGAGAAGGCGGAGCATATGAGCCATCTGGCTGAGGGACGGCGTCCCAGGGGTACGCATGGGGACCCATCACTTTGTGGCTGTGTCACATGTCCCTCGTAAAGGGCTCAGTGTCAATCAGACACAGTGCTTATGTTCGGAATGTGACGTCAATTAGCCTTGAGATGCTAAGTTCAAATGCTACTCAGTAGTATTCAGGTGTATGACTTCAAGTGGAAAGACAGGAAGATGAATTTGTTAGGAAGATGAATTTGTTCGGAAGTCTAAATGTTGAGCTTCCGTACATGTTCACATTGATGTCGTTCAACGTCGAAAGGCCCACTCTGTCACACAAAGGTGTGCCCCGTACCTTGGCTGGGCGAGTTCTGCAGGGAGCATCCTCGGGAGCATGACCACAGCAATAACTTCTGTGGTTTTAGAGGTGCTGGTGCTGTTCAGAGAAACAAAGCAGGGTGTGGTCAGGGACAGCGGTGCCCAGGAGGGAACACGGAAGCAAAGACTTGTAGGAAGTGGGTCTGGTAGATCTCGGGGGTGGGGTGAGGGGCAGGGGTTATTCCAGGAAGGGGCATTCCATGTTATTAGGTTCGTACCATCTTCTGTGGAATCAAGCTATTGTTATGAGAACTTCTGTGTATCTAGTAAGCTTTGCCTATGAGATTTCCTTGTTAATATGTTGTTACAATGGTTAATATGGCCACATTTGTTCCCTTTTAGTTAATTGGTGTGTGGTATGTTCCTTTCCATTCCCTTTAAAATGTCCTGTATTCTTGTATTTCTGATCATTCTCATCTGCTGTAAACCACATAAAATCAGACTATTTTTAACCAGCCTGACAATGTGGTCATTTGGTCCCCCTGGAGTTCAGACCTCTGGCGGTGAGGGAATACATTTCTGTTGTCTTCAGCCCCGGAAAATAAGACAGGTGCTCCCCAGGTCCTGTCAGCATCCGTGGTTGTCATGTCCTCTTGTTGAAAATAGGAAGCAATTGGTGAAATAGATGAAGGATCTAAAAGTACTAAGTACTAGGAAACCAGAAGACCTACACCGCGTTTAAGAATGGTCGTCGAGCCCTGGCCGGTTTGCCTCAGTGGTTAGAGCGTCGTCGGCCTGAGGTCCACAGAGACCGGGGTTCGGTTCCCGCTAAGGGCACGTACCTCGGTTGCAGTTTGTTCCCAGCCCTGGTTGGGTCGTGCGGGTGGCAATCACTCAGTGTGTTCCTTTCACGTTGATGTTTCTCTCTCTCTCTCTCCCTCCCACTGTATCTGAACAAAAAATGGAAAAATGTCCTCGGGTAAGGATAAAAAAAAAACTTCACTTGGGGATATTTTTCCATTTTTATCTTTAGATAGAGTGGGAGAGGGAGGGGGAGAGAGAGAGAGCAAGAGAGAGAGAGAAACATCGATGTGACAGAGACACATCGACTGGCTGTCTCCCGCAGGACCCAACCAGGGCCGGGGACCGAACCAAAACCCAGGTATGTGTCCTTGACTGGAATCGAACTGCGACTCATTGGTCCACGGACCAATGCTCTAATCGCTGAGCTAAACTGGCCAGGGCTAACAGTTATTAATTTTTATTTTTAGCCACTTATGCCTGTCACATGCTGTTTGTAATAGAAAAAAATTGGGATGTAAATTTCCAACATTATGGGATGTAAATTTCCAACATTAACTCAATGAGACTCCATACAGCACCACAGGGCCAGGTCTAGAAGGGACACACCCAGCCAGTCACAGAACAATGTCCTTACGTCTCAGATGATTGCAAAGGGTCTATTCCTAAGGAAAGATGGTCATGAGACACTGTGACAAATAACAAAACGGTGGAAGGAGTGTGTTTTAATGTTTTTATTGAGGTGAAATTTATATAACATAGATTGGTTTAAAGTATGTAACTCGGTGGCACTTAGCATACTTACAAGGCTATGCAACCATCCACTCTATCAAGTTCCAAACATTTCATTGCTCCCAGGGAGGTCTCATGTTCTACAGCGGTCACGACCCGCACCCAGACCCCCCGTCCCTGGCAACCATTAATCTATTTTCAGGCTCTATGGATTTGCCTAGTGTGGGTATTTCATATAAATAGAATCATTACAATATGTGGACTTTTGTCTCTGGCTTCTTTTGCAGTTTCCATGGGTCATTCACACTGTAGTGTGAATCAGGGCCTAGTTCCTTTTCCTGACTAATATTCTGCTGCAAGGGTGGGCCAGATTGTGTTTACCACCCACTGATGACGGATTTGGTTGTTCCCACCGTTTCTACCATTTACCTGTTGTACGCAGTGCTTCTGTGAACATTGGTGTACAGGTATTTGCTGGAACACCTGTTTTCAATTCTTTTGGGTATATAACTAAAAGTGGATCTGCTGGATCATATGAAATTGTTCAACTCTTTTTTAATCCTCACTCCAGGATGTATTTTTTCATTGGTTCGAGAGAGACAGAAACGGAGAGGGAAAGAGAGAGAGAGACATCAATCAGTTACCTCCTGTATGTGCCCTGACTGGAAATCGAACCCATGACCCTTCAGTGCACAGGATGACACTCTAACCCACGGAGCCACGCCAGCCAGGGCTGTTTAACTTTTTGAGGCCTGTCTAGACTGTTTTCCACACCATGAATGAGGGTTCCGAAGAACATTTGTTTAATTATTATTATTATTATTGTCATGTGAGTGGTTTTAATTTGCAGTTCCCTAATGCCCAAAGATGTTGGACACCTTTTCATGAGGTTGTTGGCCATGTATATATTTTCCACAGAGAATTGTCTGTTCAAGTCTTTGACCAATTTTTAATGGAGTTATATTTTTGTTGAGTTGTAAGACTTCTTTATATATTATGGATACTAGACCCTTATCTAACATATGGTTTGCAAATATTTTCTCCCATTTTTGTGGGTAGCCTTCTCACTTTCTCAATAATGTCCATGAATTCACTTTTGTAGAAAATAAAAGATACATCCCTTTCATTTAAAAACAAACCACAGTAACAATCTGCCCCAGCTGCTTTGGCTCAGCAGTTGCCAGGCCTTGGGACTGAAGTATCTCGAGTTCAGTTCTGGTCAAGGGCACTTACCTGGGTTGCGGGTTCAATCCCCGGCCCCAGTTTTATAGGAGGTCGTGTGGGAGGCAACCAGTGATACCTCTCTCATGTCCACGTTTGTCTCTTTCTCTCTCCCTCCCTCCTTTGCACTGTATCTAAAAATCAATGGGAACATATTCTCGGGTGAGAATTAACAACAACAAAAACCCAATCTGAACAAATACTGTACTAGATCAATAGTGATCATCTCTGGGTAGTTTGGATTGTCGCTATTTTATATTATTTCTGATTTGACAGCGACAAGACTTCCCAAGTTCACTAGTTTTGCAAGTCGGTAAAAGGAAAGTGAAACAGCATCGTCCCAGCTTCTTCTTGTTATGATCTCTGTGCTGCAACAGTCTGACGTGAGGACTGCTCAGGGGGGTTGGAGCACACCCTCCTGAGGGGTGGTGTCCGCGCCTGGCCTGCTGGGCGGCTGGAGCGCCCCGGAGTTCCCAGGGTCATTCTGTTTCTGCCGCTGCTCTGACTCCAGCCTTGGGGAAAAGGAAACTGAAACTCAAATCCCCGCCGCGCGCGGGCTCCCAGACACGCCCCCTGACGTGGGCAGCTCGGCCACAAAAAGGGCTGAGCCTCCAGACTCCGGAGGCAGCCGACTCAACACTGCCTGCGGAGGACCTCGCTTCAGAGCTCAGAGCTCGCAGCCATGGTGAGCCGGGGTGACAGGTGGGGTGGGCGGGCTGGGCGCCAGTCCCTTTCCCTCCCTCTCCCCCATGGGTCAGGCAGGCAGAGCTGCTCAGAGCTCCCCGGTTCCTGAGTGAGCAGAGGGGCCAGGCTCCGAGGTCAGGGTCTCGGTCTCTCGGGAGGCGGGTTCTGCCCAGTGGTGGATTCTGAGATCCCTTGGGAGACCTCTTAGCTGGTGAAGGGAGGCCAAGTGATGGTTACGGGAGGCCGGCCGTTTCCTCTAGAAATGCCCCCTTGCTCATCTCCCACACTTGAGGTGGATGGAGAGATGATGGAGAGGAGGGAGCAGTGTCCAGGACCCTAGGAGCTCACCCTTCGACCAGTGCTGTGCCTGCAGTGGCCCCAGGACTGGTGCGGGTTCTCTGACCTCTTGTAATGCCCACAGAACGGGTACGTGAAGGTGAAGATGCTGAGCAAGGAGTTCCAGGTGCCCCTGAGTGCCTCCATGATGTTATCAGACCTGAAGCAGCAGATCACCCAGAAGACCCAAGTGCCTGCCTTCCAGCAGCGCCTGGTCATCGAGTCCAGCAGCACCGAGCTGCTCGACGGGGTTTCCCTGCACAGACAGGGCCTGTCCCCTGGCAGCACAGTCATCCTGGTGGTGCAGAGATGCGACAAGCCCCTGAGCATCCTGGTGAGGAACGACAGGGCCCGCACCAGACCCTACGAGGTCCTGCTGACGCAGAAGGTGGCTGAGCTCAAGCAGCAAGTGAGCAAGCAGGAGGGGGCGCCGACCAACCAGTTCTGGCTGAGTTTCCAGGGGAGGGCCATGGATGACCATCAGCAGCTGGGGGAGTACAACCTTCAGCCCAACTGCATCGTGCAGATGAATCTGCACCTGCGGGGGGGCGGGGAGGGGCCACGAGGGCCCCACTGAGGTTGCTGGTGGCGAGTCCCTGACCAAGGGCCCATAATAAAAGTTCGTGCAAAGCCACTTGGCTGCCTCTGCTTCTTCCCTCACCCCTGCCCCAGCACCCTCAGCAGCCTGGGGGAGAGGCAGAGGGGAGTAGGGCTACGGGACCCAGGGTCTCTAGGATGGGGTTGCTAGGTTAGGGGACAACCTAGTGAGATCAAAATAGTAACACACCCCCATGGAGAAGCTGAAGATGTGTTCCCACACCTTTGGCAAATTAATTTCTAGAGAAAGAAAAAGAGGCGTCACTGAAGCCCATCCCTGCCTCCAGGTTGAGCACGGTCAGCCCCCCGCACGAGTCCCTCCACCCAACATCTGGGTTAATTGATAGCACAGTGCGGAGAAAGGCCAGGTCAGGTCCCAAAGGCCACAAGGCGAGGTCCCTGCTGGGACCAGTACCCCTGGAAGTGGTGAGGGAGTGAGTCCTAGGGCCTGCCTGGATGAGTTGGGTGGGGAGCTCCAGGACCTCTCCGGTCCAGGACCCACGAGCCTGCCCTGTCCACACACATCCTCACCGGTGAGCTGCTGAGTGGAAACTGTTAGAAACAAATACAGCTGCCTTCAGGGTTTCACTTCATGGAGAGGCCATGGACAGCAGGAGGGGCACCTGGAATGGGGGTTCCCCGCAGTCATGTGGAAGAGCTTTTGGGGAGCACAGTTTGGCACAGGCTACAGTTGCTTCCACACGAGATGCCTCCTCCTATTCCAGTTTCCAAATGAGCCCACGGGAGCCAGGCTGTCAGCCTCGACGCAGGGGACATGGGGGTGACAGAACAGACACCTCTCTGGGTCAAAGTTTGAGATTCTGGGGACACTCAGACCTCAGCTTTCAGACTCTTCAGGGGGATTTATTTGGCTGGAGACACAAAAGTCTCCTTTCTGGTCTGTGGGAGTCTGTACTAGGCTGGGGGTTCCCAGGTCTGCCTTGCTTATGACGAATACGTGTAGACATGCAGGTGTGTGTGTTGGGGGGGGCTATCCTGGTTCCAGCCTCATTTCCTGGGCCCACCCTCACCTTTTTGTCCTACTGCAACTCAGCAAATGTAAGCACACACCCTTGGTACCACCCTCTTTTCCTGAACCCCCCACCAGGGTCTGGGGGCAGTGAAGATGGGGGCGTTGCAGAGGGGCTCTGCCTAGCTCCCCTCTCAGAGCTTCTGGCTACAAGCTCTGTGGGAGGCTTGGGGTGAGGGGTGCACCTCGGATCCAGTCCTGGAGGAACAGAAGGCGTCTCTTCCCCTTCCCCCTCGATCTTCAGCTAGTCCAGGCTCTAATTCGGACGCTCTGGACCGCAGGTTACCCCTGTGCTTAGCCAGGCTGGAGAAGCGCAATTCCGGGAGCCGGGAGGGACATGGCTAGCCGCCCACCCCACACCCGCGACCGCCGACCCGACATTGCCGCCGCTGGACGGCAGGGGGAGCCCTCCGCCCTGCAGTGAGGCCCGAGCTGAGCCGGGAACGGAGGGGGGCGGGTCTGCGCTCTGCTCGGACCAATCGCCGCAGCTCCCGGCCCGCATTGGCCCTAGCCAGCCGGGGGCGCGGCCTGCTGGGGCTCCTCTCCCCGACAGGCTGGGGTCCCGGCCCCGCCGAGCTTCCGTCCCCAGGTCTAGCTAGGGGCTGGGGTCCCCAGTCCGGTTCCTCCCGCAAGGGGAGGGGTGCTGTTCTCTAGCGCTCGAAGGACGGGGGGCCCCGGGGTCTGGCAAACCCTTCTCGCACCGGGGAGCCACCGCCGCTCCGGCCCCGCGTAGCCTGCAGCCCCTTGGAAGTCCCGTCACGTCGCCTCCAGATTATGCATTAACCCGATTTCAGCCGCAGTTCCTGGGGGCGGGCGACGTCCGCGCTGGCGGGGGCGGGGCGGGGCGTCCGTCCGTGGGGGCCCGCCCCGCCCCCCAGCCCGGGCGGCTCTCCGCCTTGGCCAGTCCCAGCGCTTTGTTTGCGGGGCCGGCGTGGGTCGCCGGGCGCCGGGCGGGCCGGGGGCGGTGCAGACAGCGGGGGGAGGTGGCTGCAGAGGGGCGGTGCTGCCGCGGGTCCCGCCCCCGCCCCGCCTCCGCGCCGCCCGCGCTCCCACCGCCTCCAGGGAGCTGCGTCCTGTCCTGTCCAGTCCGGTCCACGGTGCGGCCCGGCCCTTGCACTTTCTCCGGCCGCCTGCCGCCGTCCTCGATCCGCGCCATGGCCAGCCTACAGCCGCCCGGCCCAACCTTGCTGCGGCCGCTGCTGCTGCTCCTGCTGGTGGCCGCGCGCGCCCTGCCCGGCGCCGACGGGACGTGCCCGGAGCGCGCACTGGAGCGGCGGGAGGAGGAGGCGAACGTGGTGCTCACGGGCACCGTGGAGGAGATCCTCAACGTGGACCCGGTGCAGCACACGTACTCGTGCAAGGTGGGCCCCCGCCGGGACCCCCGGGCCCTGCGGCCACCTTCGAACCCTCCTGGACCCCTCTCTGGGGGCCTCTTCCCCCGCGATCCCGGCCCCCTAGCCCGGAGGCCCTCCCCTTGTGATGCCGGCCGCCCCGCAGAGACCCCCCTGCCCCAGGCCGTGGGAACGAGCCCCAGACGCTCCGCAGCTCCTGCTCCCGCTTCCTTGGCGACCGCCGAGCCCTCGGCTGGTGCGCCGGGTCCCGGGAAACTCGCGAGCGCCAGAGGGAAAGTTCCTGCGGTCCCACCGAGCGGTGCCCAGGCCCGGGGACCCGGTTCGCTCTGCCCCTCCACCCCGAGCCCGAGCCCTCCTTGGAAACAGCTGTGCCGCCCCCCAGGGAGAGTGTCGCTACCGCACCTCCTCCCCACCGGCCGAAGAAAAGAATAAGGGACGAGGGAGGTGATGTTTTCTGTCTGGGGTGGAGGTGGGGGTTTCACCTGCAGTCAGTGCTGTCGCCCCCTCCCCAGAGGCCTTTATCTGGGTGAGAGGGGTGGTCAGGAGAGGGGGACTTCGCATCTAATCTCCCAATCCCAGGGATCCTGGCGGGGTTGCTGCGGTGCCTGGGTGTGGGGGCCAGAGCTGAGAAGTGGGCGGGGCCGTTGCAGAGCTCAAGTGTTCTTGGGGTGGCAGGGACAGGGGCAGGTGCCCCATCCGCTCCTGGGAAAACTGCATTTCGCCTGGCCATTGCGGGCGGGGGAGGGGGGACTTGCGGGGTCTCCTTCAGTGGGACCCAGCAGCCTCAGGGGGAGGTATGGTGGGTTTTAAACCACAATCCTTTCCTAGGGCCGGCTCAGGGGACCCAGACGCATCCTCCCCCCTTCTGGCCCCTAAAACTACCTCCCCGACCAGAAATCGGACGATCCCCCTTCCTCGGAGATGGGGAGGGGCGGCAGCTTCTTTCAGATTGGCCTGTGAGGGCTACAGCTGGGATCCCCCGCTGGGCCCCCTCCCCTCCACCTCGGGGCACTTTGCCAAGTCCCTGCAGGATTTTCCCGACTTCCTCCCTGCTGCTCCTGGGTGTGGCTGGGGTGGGGGGAGGCGCTGAAAACTGCCCAGCCCTCCCCCTGCCGGTTACCCTCCTTCTGAGCCTACTGTGTGTCTGGAGGTCGAGAGAGAGGACTGGACAAGGCTCCACCCAGGCCACTGGAGGGTGGAGGGGGTCCCTGCAGATGTTGCAGACCCCAGGCTCCCAGCAAGGGGGAGGTAGGCAGGTGGCCTGGCCACCATTGTCTTTCATCCCCCATTCCAGAAGCCCCGACCCCCCCAGACCTTCTGAAGAAAGAGGCCACTTCTCAGGGAGAGCTGGGCTCATGGACCTGTGCCTTTGAGGGCGGCCTGCGGTTCTGCCTGCAGCTCCCGCGACCCTCCTGCCTCCCCCACCCCCACAGGCTGTGGGCATCCCAGGGCACAGTTTGTCAGAGCAGGTGCCCTCAGGGCCCCAAGAGTACGAGTGTGGAGGGTGGGGCTGCCCTGTGCTGCCCAAACTTGATTCTGTGGTTCTAGGCTGCCTTTACAGCAGTCACCATGGGAGCCCCACAGGAGGAGGGGTCTTTTACCTCCGGGGAGGGGACGTCTTGGCCCACCCACAGGGCTGCAAGGAACCCAGCTGGCTCAGAGCCCTGAGCTCAGAGCTGGTCGCCTGAAACTACCATCCATGTTAGCTGCTCCTGGCTGTGCCCAGGGCAGGCCGGAGGAGGGTGTGGGCAGATAGGGAGAGAGGGGCATGGGAGGCAGGCAGTCTGGGCCAGGTGGGTCCCCTTCCCATACCCAGCCTGAGCTGGCATGGACATTATTGGAATGGGGGTGGCTGGGGTCAATTAGACCCGGGGGTGGGGAGCTGTTTGCTGGGGTAGGGGTATGTTCACAGACCCCGTGTCCTTGTGTGTGACACACGTGGGCAGCAGCATTCATCCTGTGTGTTTCTCCCTACACCCTCCTCCTGGGGGGCTGACCCAGGGTCTCCTTACATCTCTGCCCAGGTCTACTCTGGATATCTAGCCTGAGCAGTAGAGGTGGGAAGGGAGGAAAAGGCCCAGGCGCCCAGTCTGGTGTTTGCCCCTCGTCTCTGTGGCCTCCTCGCCCCAGTGGGAAGAGGATCACTGATACCTGCCCCCCTCCACTTCTACCCCAGGTTCGGGTCTGGCGGTACTTGAAGGGCAAAGACGTGGTGACTCAGGAAAGCCTGCTGGACGGTGGCAACAAGGTGGTGATCGGTGGCTTTGGAGACCCTCTCATCTGTGACAACCAGGTGTCCACTGGGGACACGAGGATCTTCTTTGTGAACCCTGCGCCCCCATACCTGTGGCCAGCCCACAAGAATGAGCTGATGCTCAACTCCAGCCTCATGCGCATCACCCTGCGGAACCTGGAGGAGGTGGAGCACTGTGTGGAAGGTGCGTGGGGGAGGGGTGGCAGGCAGGGCAGGGGAGAGTGTTGTGGGCTAGGCACAGTGCGCCTGGTGGCCTGACTCCTTCCCCGCTCCCTGGCGCATGGAGTATGTCCCTGCATCTCAAGGTCTCTCTGGCATTAGCAGTGCTCCCCCCAAACCCCCACAAGGCCACTACCATCTTTTGTCTTAGAACCGAGCAAGTCCCAGCTCTGCAAAGGTACAGGCCTCCTCCTCTTAGCCTCCCCTCCCCGTCCTTGGCTCTGTACCTCCTGGAGGGTTCCGTTCTTGAGAGGCTGGGACCAGGTGAATGAACACCAGCTGTTCATGTTCCTGCAGAGGCCCAAACATCTGTCTAGACAAGGCCCAGATGTTGAGCAAACCGCTGTGGGTGGGGCGTATGGATGGGGGGACTGCCCCCTTGTGTGTTCCAAGACCTGTCATTTCCGGGAAGGGGCAGTTCTATGGGGTGGGGGCTTCAGTGGGTTCAAAGGGGTGTGGGATTCTGTTATTGAAGTGAAGAACTTTTTCCTATCTGCTGTTCCCACATGTCTATTTTGAATGGCCTGAGAGTGCCCCTCCCCCACCACAGCCTCTGGGAGAACATGAGTCACATGACCAGGGTTCTCTCTCTCCCCCACCCCCTTTCTCCCCAGTATAGTCCCAGTTAGGGGCTGAGATCCTTGGCTGAGGAATGTAGCAGGGAGAATGTAGGAACTGCTTTCTTCCCCACATCCTGTCTGTCCCCTCATGGCTGCCTGGGAAGGGATGTATGGGGGGTGGGGGCATGTGAGAGAATCCTTTCTCCCAGGGGAATGGGAGGGGGCTGTGATTTCCTGTCCTGAGAAGGTGACCCTGTCCCCTGACTTGCTCTGTTGACCAGAAGGGAAGTCCCACCTTCTATCTCAGTGTTGTGATGCTGGCTTGACTTTTGTGGGGTCCTGGATGGTGGACTCATCTGGCCTGGGGAGGACTGTGCAGGGGGGCAGACCTTAGTGGGGTGGGAACCCCACGATGTCTTGCGCGGACTGTGATCGGGTCCTTCGGGGGTCAGAGAGAAGCCAGCAGGGCTGTGTGGCCCTTGCTAGCACCGGCCCAGCTGACCAGTCTCAGCCTGGCCACCTCACCAGGCAAGGACGTGAGAACTGGCCCGTCTGGAAGCTTGTGGTCTAGGGGAAGATGGAAGAGAGACGTGGAGACGGGCCAGCTGTGTGATGGTGATGCCCGGCTTTGGGGGCGAACGGGGGCTAGGAGGGGCTGGAGAGGGGTCAGGACAGAAGGTCCCCTGTCCCTTGACAGGGAATCGAGAGGATGAACCATTACGGGTACTGTTGGGTGGGTCCAGCCCAGGGGTCTGTGACTTAGTAACCGAGACCGTCTGTCAGGTCAGAAGGCATGTGGCCCGAAGGCCACATGGGCACTACAAGATTGGCCATTCTGCCAAAGGTCCACCCACAGCAACCCAGCTGGGCAGAGACAACTGCACAGGAGGGTCCATGGGAGAGCCCCCCAGCCAGGACTGGGTGAGACTTGACCTACTCTGTGCCGCCTGCCCTGGTGACCCATGCTCAGGGGCCAGTCAAGGACCCAGGCTCCAGCTGGGTGGGTGCTGGGACCCACAGACCAGCGCAGCCACAGGGTGAGCACCCACAGGGGCCGGAGCCACCAGAGGGTCTTGTGGAAAGGAGTTCATGGAGAGGAAGGGAGACAAAATGGCTTGGAACCTTGGGGGGGGAGGCCCCTGGAAGAGGAGGGGCCCAGAATAAGGAGGTCTCCACTGGGAGGCGTTTTGAGCTAGGCCTCATGGACCTCTGCTTTGGGAGCGGACCAGGGCTCTGAGGCGGCTGGGCTGGGCTCTTGGACAGGGCCTAGGGTGAGATGGGGTTGTCCCGCTGAGTGCCCCAAAGCCCAAGGGACGAGGCCCCCTGGAGTGAGGGCCAGGCTGAGTGGGTGGGAGGAGGATCTCAGACTCTGCCCCAGGCTCCAGAAGCCCAGGTGAGGGGGACAGGGCCTGAGATGCACTGACCCTTTCCCATCTGACTCTGACCCCATCCGCTCCCAGGGGCCCCCTGGGGCCCAGGGTGAGGTCTGGGCAGCCACTAATCTGTGGAGGGTCATCCCAGGACCACCAGGTCTCACTTGTGCTTACACACCTCACACCCAGCTAGGCCCGGAGCAGCCAAGGTGGGGGCCACATGCTCCCAGGCCCATCTCCTGGGGGACTGACCTTTGCTCACCGCTCCTGATCCCTGCCTGGGCACTGACGGGGCGGGCACCTGCTGCTATCAGCACACCTGCCCTGCTCAGCTTCTCCCCAGGACCTCCAGCGGCTTCCTGGCTCTGCTGGTCAGGCCCCTTCCCCAGCCTCTAGCCCCTAGGAAGGCACCTCCTCCAGTCCTGACCTGGGGAACCACATTCCTGGCATAGCTGAAACAGGTATGTGTCCCTCCCTCTGCACCACCTTTGGGTGAGGGAGGTCTGCTGCTCCAGAACAGCCTCTTCCAGAGACTCCCCCCACCCCTTGCCACTTTGTCAGGGACACGGCCTGGCTTCTTCCGGTGACAGCCGCCCACACACTGTGAGCCTGCTCAGGCTAGCCGCCGAGTGGGCATCTCCTCCAGCCCTCGCCACCTTGTCCTGGTCTGGGCACCGCCACTTACGCCCCCCATACTCCCTACTCCCACTGCATGAAGACCAGTCCTGGCCTCCCCTGCAGCCCCCAGGAGGACCCGGGCTGGCTGAAGGCCTGCAGGGCAGCCTGAGGCCCTCCCCTCCCCAGGAGGAGCCAGGAGCAGAGAAAGGAAGTGTTGTCTGCCCCGCCGGGCCTGGCACAGGGATAGGGGCCTGGCACAGAGACAGGGTCGAAGTGAGTCTGGCGCCGGCCCAGCCTGGCCCTGCCCGGCCCTGAAAGCAGGGTCCTGGCAGCCGCACTCCCTGGCGGGCAGTGGCGTGGGCCCTAAGGGTCTCCGTTGAGCTGGGCCAGGTGGACGTGCAGGGAGGTTTCTGCCTCCCTGCGGGCTGGGCTAGCTCCCACGGCCGCCGGCACTTAGCCTCTGCACCCTCACGGCTCCTGGGCCCGGCCCGCCCCTCCACATTCCTCCCTGCTGACGGAGGTGCTCTTCCTGCTCACGGTTCCCTCTCCTACCCCGTCGGGACCGTAGGCTCTCGCCCCGCCCCCTCCAGGCCCCGCCCAGCGCCCTTCCTGGCCCCTCCCCCAGGCCGGGCCTGGAGGAGGCAGGTCCAGGCGGGAGTCCCTGGGTTCCCTCGGGCGGCGGGGGCGGCGTCTGCCCAGGTGGGGCCAGTTCTCCCACTGGGGTCCCTGGGGGGAAGCCCGCGATGGGCGCTCTCCGCTCCGCGCGCAGGACTGGACTTGTGCGGACTGGACTCCACCTGGGTTCCTGTGCGGGGGTGGCCCGTGTTCAGGGGGACAGCAGGGGCTTGTGATGGCGTCGCTTCCCTTTGGGCTGAGTTGGTGGAAACAGCTTTCGGCTTTTTCCATGCCCCCTCCCTCCCCACCCAGAGAGCACCCAGCCTCGGTTCTCCCGCACAGACTGGAAATGGGAACACATTGTTTTGAAACTGCCCCCCCTTCTCCCTCCCCCGTCACACGGGGGTGCTGGTGGGGCCAGCCTGTGCCCTCGCAGCCTCTGTGGGTGCTGGGACCTGAGGTGCACAGGTGAGGAGGCCGCAGGTCACCTGGCCAGGGCTAGCTGGCCTAGGTCCAGGACTGCATGCTGGGGCAGGAAGTGCAGGGCCTGCCCGGGAAGGTTCTGGGTGGGGGGAGGGGAACCGGGCGGACCTGGGGCCATGGGTCAGCCAGAGCCATCCCACCATCCCCTGTGCAGCCCTCCCAAGCCCCCTCCTGCTGGTCTGTTTCCTTCCGGAGGGTTAGACCCTCCGCGGGGGGGGGGGGGGGCACACACACTGGCGTGGCCCTCCCCAGTCCTTTGCCTCCACCTGTGGAACCCAGGCCAACCGCCCCCTCCCAAGTTCAACCCTTGCCCAGAGGCCTGGGTGGAGGGAGGATGGACTTCCTCTCTGCTCTCGCCCTCCTGGCCCTCGCACCCCCTCACCGTCGGGGGAGAGGAACGATGTCTCCCCACACAGGCCACTGGGACGGGGCTGACCTGTAAGTAGCTGCACTTGACACCCCAGAGTCCCAGCAAGCACCTGCTTCACTCAGAAATGAGACAGCACCCCCTTAACATCTACCTGATGACAGTGACACAGCTCATCTGAAGAGGGCGCTGTGCCCCACTGTGGGTCTATGCTGGGGCCCCAAAGGGGTCATGGTGGGGCCCAGGCTGTGGCTGAGATCTGGAAACGTGTGCTCTAGGCCTGGGGTGGGAGGCTCCCCTGCAAGCGGCCTCCACCCACCCAGCAGATCCTGAGAACTTGCTCTGAGGAAGGACCCCTGCGGGGGTGCTGGACTTGGGAAGGGGAAGAGGCCCCTCCTAGCCACGCCCCTGCCCCCGTGGAGAGGGAGGCTCTCTGTTCAGATGGCTGTGCACTACCCTCAGCCTCAGTGAGTGATCTGCGCATGTGAGATTCTGGTCAGAGCCCCAGCAGGTGGCCTCTGGTTCCAGGGGCTCAGACAACAGTCAGGTCAGGGGTCAGGGCCTTGGGGACAGGGCTCTGGCCTGTCTTCTGTGGGTCCCCACCTCTGCTTGCTGCAGCTCGTCCAGTGTCCTGCCTGCCGCCCTGTCTCTTGCTTTGTCCCTCCCATCCTGTCCGCCCTCCTAGCAAAGGGCTGGGCACTGCTCCTGCACCTCCCAGTGCTGGAGACCAAAGGGCTGTGGTGAGGGCGTGAGAGTCCCTGGGGGCTCTTGGTTTCACAGACCCCTCCTGTGTCTAACAGACCCCGCGTCTGGCACAGGGCTGGGGGAGGGGGGTCCTGTCACTGGACGACATGGGCCTGAGCCTCCCCGCTCCTCCCCTCAGCAGCCCCCTTCAGGCACCTGACACCAGCCCTTGGAAGAAGCAGGCCACCTGGTTGGGTTAGGGTGG